CGGCATCTGAGTTCTAAACCGGTTTCTGCAACTCCCAATAAGGAAGGGCTCCCCTGACTTCTGGTTTGCTAAACCAGAGCCGCAGTTCTCAAAGCTTGTATTGCTACCAAAGATGCGTGTTGGCTCCCCAAATCCGCAGATTAAGTTCATCTCAACATCCAGATAACATACAATACTTCGACCCTGTCTCACTCATACAGAGAAAATATGAGCGTCTCTCTCGCAGGTTGGGTCGAGAAATTCCATTATGAAAGATATTCTTCATGCCAGTAACCGTTTTTATCTAAATATCTATAGTATATTCATAAATTAAATCATCATCTTTGCACAACCACAAAAACTTTTCGAGAACAAACGGACGTACCTCTAAATAATGTATCAAGAGGTATGACAGGGAAACGAAACAATAAAAATTCGTGCCATATAAGACATAAAAAAGCACATAAATTTGTCGTTGACAATTCAATAATCATGTGAAAAGCAAGATTTTATTTCATGACACTCAGTCTTTTCAGGCCTTTGATTATATCTTTTTTAAAATAAAAACTCAACATTTTCTAGTGAAAATTGCATGGCTTATTTTAATTCTTATGGTATCCACAGAAAGTGTCACTCTAACTAAAAAGTAACCAGATAAAATAATCCACAAACGCTGATAGCCTCCATAATGAGTAGATACATGTACCTTTTCGTCTAATTATTGCTAAAAATGTTGCGTAAAGTTTTTATTAAGATGTCATAACCACCTTTAACCAAGTTCATCTTTTTCTAGTGACTTTTTATAGCTTTAAAAAGTTTACATTCAAATTTTGGTGCTGGTTAAAGGTGGTTATGACATGTGTAGGAGTTGTCAAACACACCAACCCTCTTATGTTTTCCCATTGCGCTAATGTTAATACGGAGCGATGGTACATCACTTTGAGACCCCATATCATAAAAAATACTAGAGGATTAGTAACCAAACAAGTTTTAGCATTAAATTGGATCTTTAACCCGATGATTCAATCAGTTTTTAAGGGGAAAAAATACATTTTGAAATTTTGGAGTCATTGTAGGCCGGAAAGCGGCCTTATAGAGAATGAACCTTTATTTTCGGTGTTTACACAAAAGTGTAAATGATTTTCAGGTACGATTTCTTTGATGGGTATTCAGATTTTTAATTGGATGCTTAATTAAAAATATAAAATTTTCAATGGTGATGGCATGCGTTATTTTGGATAAAACAATGCGAAAAAAATAACCATTCATTACTCGTGTGGGATAAAGAAAACCCACCTCGGGGCCAAGATTCACTGTCTAGGACTCGGCAAAGCCCCGTGAATCAAAGACCGTGAATCTTGTCCCCTCGGTGGAATTTCACTATCCCACACTCGTAGTAATGAATGATTCTATCAATCCCAGTGAGCTTGAAATAAAAGATACCACAGAGTCTGACACATCTGTTTCATATTTGGATATTTTACTGGAAAAAGACCTTAATGGTAATCTAACAACCAAGCTTTATGATAAAAGTGTTGATTAACTTTTTTAATCGTCAACTTCCCTTCCCTTAGCAATCATGCTCACCAGATCAATATAAAAAGAAAATCAAAAAGTTGTTGTGAGTAAAGAAAACACAATCTCTCAGTTCCAATGTCAATAAAAGCAAGAATTGCATATTAGGCCTACTATTTTAATAACCGTTGGATAGAGACGGTTATAAAAAAAAAAAACACACACACACAATGTCATCAACTATGCAAAAAGACCTCAAATTTTGAAAGAAGTGGGTTTTGTGTCCTCGAAATAAACAATGATAATAATGGCCTTTATTTATCAAAATTTAAACAATTAGCAAAAAAGCTAGTTTTTGATTTGTTTAATTTGTATTTAAGGCCAAATCAAATAAAATTTTGTGAAAAACGATCAAGTTTTCCATCGTTTCTAAAAAGCTAGTTCTGTAAGTAAATTGTCTAAATACACGCCTTTTTATTTCTTTGAAGCCTATTTCAGGTTGACGAGTCTTCTGGGTTAAGGAACGTTTCATTTTACAATTTAATATTCAGCTTTGACGACAACACTTGAATTATTAATAGATTCTGTAGGAGAAAATTGTCATGTAGAGGTATTTGTTTAACTATGAGTTTATTTATTTAAAAAGTTAAATCCTGGAAAATGAAGTAATGACATTTAAACGTCTTTCTTTTTCATCGCTGCATTATGCACAGCAGAAAATAATTTTTCAAAAGATAGTGCTTATACATTCTCTTTGCGAGTGCACATGTGTTCACTTCACTGTGGCATGGTACACTTGTTTATGAGGTATTGCCATTTGAGTTAGAAGACTTTTGCGATTTCGCCCATTAATCAAATATTCTCCCTCGAATTTTAAGAATGCATGCATTCAAACATAAATCAATTGTTAAAATACACATTAGTATTCTACGCTTTCCACTTCACGACTTCTATTTGTTATCCCAATTACATACAGACTCAAAATGAAGAAAAGATGACATTGCTAAAATGTCTTTACATGTTCACAACGAGGACTTAAATCACTTATTATAAACTATCCAAAATATAGGGAACACCAATCTTTCAATTGGCTACATAATTTCCTCAGTATATAAGGAATTCTGTCGAGGATTACGGTAGATAAAAGGTCAATTATAAACGAGAACATTTTATCAGAATAGATATTAGTATGGAATAGAAATTGAAATCTCGTATTTAAAGGTTGTGGCAAAATTTGAACCATCAAACCATCTATTTTACTGTCTTTAGTTATTCCAAAATGTATTTAAGAATTAAACTTACATGATCAGTATGTACTAGTTTCAGCTAACAAAGCATGTAAAAAAAAATATCTTCGTTTGTAAGGTTTATTATTACAATTGCATTTTAAAGTTTAATTCTTATATGGAATAAGTTCTTATTTGCAAATTCAACCTTTGATTAAGTCGTTTTGATTGACATGTTTCATACCTATTGTTAGGCCATTTTTTATACGAAATTTGACTACGGATTACTCCGTCTACACAGCAGATGTAACCGGTCGACATGGGATGCTTACTCCTCTTATGCACCTGATTCATCTCCTTGGTATCCAGGGGGCTGTGTTTTATGCCTTGTTCACAAATTTGTATTGTTCTTTTTTAAGAATTTTGAGATCGTTTACTCTTCGTAATCTTCATCTTTTTCATTCAAAAAGTTGTAATCTAGCGTACGCTCATAGTTCCCTTTCAAAAGAAGAGATTTTAAAAGCCATGTGCCAGTCTTAAATGTTTTCAATTTTTCCAAAAACCTAAATGTGTCTGAATCATCATACCTATCTCAAACGTCATACCTTATAAACAAAGATACATAGCAGGATCTAGTAAATAAAATAATAGATCTTTTTCTTTATCCCTTACGAAAAAAAATCAGAATATATAACCAGGGTTTTGAAAACTTAACATATGATGAAAAATTATGTTTTTCAATGAAACCTATACAAGAATGTACAGACATACTTTTAGCTGTTATTTCTTTTTCTTTAGAAGAGTTGTGCAGAAATAGATAATGACACTCTAAAGTTTTCAACATATGACACCGACCTTTTTTTTTTGATTGACTTTTGTGGAAAATCCAATTAGTATGAATATTTTTACCTGGATTACCGCTCTCTGAAGAGAGAAAATACAATAAATCCATATAAACAACAGGAAGCACTGCAAGTTGTTATACATTTGTACTTTCATATTCATTAAGTCTACTACATCTGTTTCATATTTTGATGTTTTACAGACTTAAGACAATAAGGACCAACAAACAACTAAATTGTATGACAAACGAGAAGACTTCAGCTTTCCCATCGTCAACTTTCATTATTAATGTAGTAATATTCCACTGTCTCCTACACATGGTGTGTATGTCTCTCAAACTAATTTGATACTAAAGAGCATGCCCTGAATACGAACAATTTTTAACCGAGGCAGACTACTAACAGAAAAGTTAATGTTACGGGGATTTCAACAACTTCGTTTAATGTCACCGTTTCGTAAATTAATTCTATGGTCGTTATTATGACCGTTTAAGCAAATATAACCTATAACCTATTGCAAGAGAGCTAATCTATTTCATGTATACGATTATTGTGTATATTCTAGGACGATTCTCTAATATATTCTATAACATAAACACCTAACTTTGCATTGTGAAGTTTCCTTGTCGTGTGTTGTGATTCAAAAAATGAAAATATATCATATATACATGAGCCTTTACTCGTTGGAGTTGATACTATTTCTTGATCATTGAATATGCTAGTATCATCAAAATTAATATCTGAAGCTTCCATGTCACTTTTTTCTCTTGCTTTCCTCACATCAATCCAATCTGATGCAGTGGTCATGTCTTTTCACAATTTGTTTTGTTGTAAGTAGTTGCCAGACATTGAAGTTTTCTTTTTTAATCCAGCAATCTCTGGTTTAGAGAGGCTCGCTGTAACATTTTTCTTTTGTTGTATTATGTATGAAGCATCTTTAGAGTTTTCTGAATAAGCTTTTATTTTCAGTCCCGTTAAAAAAAAAATGGAACACCATCACTAACATGCACTGAATACTTTCATTTTTTCAAACTTAACGATATTAAAAAATTACTTATATTCCTAGAGATGCAATACATGTTTGTAAATGTTGGTTTATTTTTCAAATAAAACCAATGTCTTATATCTAATGAAATTAAAAATTGCTTACAGTTATCCATAAACAGAAATAAATGTAATCAGAAAATAATCGAAATTGAGCAGTATTACATAAATTTATTTCTAAAAACAGTTATCAATTAAATCAAATTATATGTAATCAAGACTTCTGATTCATGTTATTATATTATTGCATGACAAATTGTAATCAAATCCAGGCTGATTAATGATTACAATTACGATCACCCAAAATCTGAACAAGAGTCTACAAGTTCGCCTCTATTTTTTATGTTCACTTTTCATTACAGTACAACAAAGTGAGTTGTTAAAGTCAACGGTTTCACCGTATGATAGCAGGAGAGTTTTTATAGGAGTCAAGTGGGTAAACAGTGCAGTTTCTTAAAGTTTCAACTTTTTTAGTTTTATTGTGTAGCAGCGAATTTCTTGTCTCGCGCAATTTGTTTTTGTGATAGAAATCGCTGAAGTTTGTAGCGAAGATAGCTACAGGCATGGCCAAAATAAGCATTCCAGAGAATGCACACACTCCTCCAACAATGTAGCCAAATGTAGACTTTGGAAACATGTCTCCGTACCCCACGGTTGTCATTGTAATCACTGACCACCATATCCCGATGAAAATATCCGAGAAGGTGTCTGCCACGTGGAATTCAGCATAGTAGATAAAACTTGCAAAGAATAGTGAAGTAATAAGAAACGTCATGGAGAGAAGAAGAAGGTCTTTAAAGCTAGCTCGTATTGACATCATCATTATTCGCAAACCGGAGTACAGCTTCATCAGTCTAAACACCCGAAATAGCCGCAAAATTAACAGGGATTTCATCGCAATATAAAATTGTAAAAGTTCATTATTTTTTAATAGGATATCCATTTCTTGATCGAGGGCATATGTAATCCACATTGCAAAAACCAGAAAAAGATCAATGATATTCAAAGGAGATCGAAAAAATTTGATTTTTCTTGGACAGGATATAAAATGGAAAAATAATTCAGCCGAGAAGAAGGCAGAGGTGAGGATATCACTTAGCCTTAATGCTTGCTTGGGTTCTGTTGTCCCCATCATAACTTCTTTGGGATTCTCCAAGTTGAGTTCTTTAAAAAAGCGGATATCTCTGTATGCAATAACGAACAAAAGTTCGTTATAGGTAAGGGTTTCCTCTCTGAATGACGGATGTGATTTCATGACAAACGTTACCATAGAAACGATGACAAAAATCATGAAGATGTAATTAAAAACCTAAAAATATAATTAACACATAATATTTAATACTAACTATATCTGCAGCTTACTTGCATAAAGTCGTACATTTAAATTTGTAAAACTTAAAGTGGTTCTTTTGGAATTTTATGGTGAAAAACCCTACTGCAATAGCATTTAGAGTGTTTGATCTTAGCTCAGATTTGATCAGATACGATAAGTATTTCTTCACATATGGTCCCACCAATGGAATTTCCTGGGTCAGTGTTTTATGCCCTCTTCACATATTTGTATTGTTATAGAATTTTATTGATCAGTGTTTGATATCCTCACCTTTTTCTATATGAAATAATTATTCTAAGTATATACATTATCAAGAGGTAAATGGATTAGAAGTGTCAAACATAAAAATGAGTTATGTAAATTGCACAATTTAAAGAACACAAACGAATGCTCGAATCAATAATATTGATGCTGTAGGGCTATGTAAAAAGCATATAATTTGTATGACTAAAATTAAAATGGGTAAAACACTGCAGTAAATTTGGCACGTGAAAAAAAATGATGGGTTATCAATTTCTCACAGAATAAACTCAAGAAATACATGAATTCAAAATCTCAATGGCGTACAGCCTAAATATCGAACCATTTCTAATCGAAGGCACTTTGTCATTGTTAAAATATCATCTAACTGATTGACGAAAGATCGGACAACTTTGATGATGTTAGATTAATTATCCCTCCCGTAAATAAAGACGACTATAATTATGAAACTGTGGGATAGTTATTCTAAATTAAACTTAAATTCAAACCGGGATGGTCTCCGTTGTATTTACGATGTGTATTCTGCTGAGAAATCTTAAATAAAGTTTTCAATTTTGGCACTTTAATGTATTCATTATTTGAAACAAATTAGAAACATGCTTTGTGAGCATACTAGTATTTTTGTGATACAATGCGTTGAAAATATGAGGAAACCCAGTGTTCTTGGGGTGTTTCATAGTCATGGAAAGAAAACTTGCTTTATCTGAAAACTTATGACCCAGAATTAAATTTTTCTTCATATTTTCAAACAAAACTACCAAAAAATCAAAATGTGAAGGGGGGTAGTGGGCAAAAAATATTATTATTATTTTGATGGCTAAAAACAGGAGGGTTCCGTAAAAATGGATGACAAGTAAGCATAGTCAGCAGAATACAATCATCAATAATGTTATTTTTTTTTTTTTACATTTCTTTGTGTGTGTGTGAGAGAGAGAGAGAGAGAGAGAGAGAGAGAGAGAGAACCTTAGCTAATCTTGATGACGATGGTTCTTCCAATGTCAGCCATATCTTCCTGAGAATTCTTTTGACTTGACTTGTACGACATTCCTCTTCAGTGTAATCCAGTTCATATTCTTCAAACGTCTGCCTTAATTTCTGTGTCGTCTGGATGTCGGCCTCTGATTGGATATATTGTTGTAGACAACAATCTGAAAGCATATTGGGTGAAAGCTCCCAAAATTCCAGTTCCTGTTTTATTACGGTGCTGCAATAGAACGAAGGAAAGTGTAGGGTGCCCGTACGATACAAATCCAAAATTGATAGAAATACGTTAGGATTTTTGTCGAAGAAATAAGACTGTCTTGTGCTGTCGTAGAACTTCGATTGTTTTGTTAGTCTTCCCAGTAAAGTATTTGGGTATCGAGAGAGAGTCACAGCCGATGTTTCAAATACCGAGCCCCCCACATTAATTTTCACTGTCTCCATTGTGTTGCCTCAGTTCCGCTATCGGGATACTGGTCTGCGTAACCCTTTTGCTATTCTTGAAGCATCACGGCGTTAAATTATTAACTTGGTGTTTTTGTTAAATTATTAATTTATGCTTATAATCAATAGTTAGCATTCATAACAAATTGATGCCGATGATATTTTTAAAACTCGTATATTTTTACTGATACCACTATCCTTAATTAGAACATATTGATGTGTTTCCCCGCTTAGCTCCTGTGGAACGAATTCCTTAGCGTTAACTCTTGCGCTTATAACCATTCACTGTGTCTTGAATAATATAAATTTGATGTCATACTTCACCAATGTATTTTTGCAATTCTTCAAATCTTTCATATTCAATTATGATCCTTACAAATACGGAAATGGAAACTTTTTAACATGTTGAATAGCTCTTGACGGCTTAACTTGACTAAGAACTAATTTGTCCACAGATGCTTTGTGTAAGAAAGAATGATTAATTGATTGATTGTATGTTGTTTAATGTCCCGTTCGAGAATTTTTCACTCATATAGAGATATCACCATATACCGGTGAAGGGCTTCAAATTTAGACCTTTACTCGGCACTCAGAGCTATTGGGCATTAAGGGATGGTTATCGTGCCAACGCCTACCGTGACACTGTCGGGGCCTCGGTTTTTAAGGTTTCGTCCGAAGGACCCGCAACTTTCACTTCCGAGTTCTTGGCGAAGGAACAGTTGCTACCTGTATTTTGTCGACTTAGGTCAGTCGCAGCCGTGATTCGAACACACGACCTTCCAATCACGGAGCGAACACCCTACCGACTGAGCTACCGTGACGGTTTGTAAGAAAGGAAGAAATATGTCAAGTGCTTATGAAGTAGAAATGAAAGATTGAACTTCAGCTTTGAATAATTTATAAGGAACTTACTTTCTTACTATAAGAAGTGCTTACAAATCAAACCGAAATATTTCACGTATCAAAATTTTCTGTTATATGGTATATTGTATAAGTATTTATGAAATGAAATTTTAACCCTTCATACATCAATATATGAATAAAATCATTGCTACATGTAATATTATTAATTCTATTTTAGCTTCTTAACATTCCTCCTCCACCTTACACCAAACACCCTTAAACAAAACAAAACTCTTCTTGATAATTCTTGACATTCTTGGTAAGTATTTCTTTAAATCTGCAATAATTAAAGTCTATTTATGTACTTTGTCAGGATATAAATGAATTATGACTGACACTCAAAAAGGTGCGTTAAAATTTGAAGGATAGGATTCTAAAAAATGAGATTTTTTTGAAACATAAATTAAGAATTCAAGCAATAACAATGAGACAGCGTTCCATTCTTCATAAGTATTGTTATTTTATGCTATGCCTTTACATTCTGAATAAGAAGTGTCTTTACATTCTAAATGAGAACTGTTATACATTCTGAATAAGAACTTTTAAACATTCTGAATGAGAACTAACTGTTATACATTCTGAATAAGACTGTTATACTTAAAGTTTCTAAATAAGAACTGTTATACATTCAAAATGAGAACTGTTATTTTGTGTCATCTTTAAATTCTGAATGACAACTCTAATTTCCTGTCGTTGCCAATACATTCTGAATAAAAACTGTCTTTACATTCTGAATAAGAAATGCCATTTTTGTCGTTTCCTATACATTCTAAATAAGAACTGTTATTTAATGTAGTTGCCAATACATTCTGAATAAGATCTGGCTTAACATTCTGAAAAAAACCCTGTTATTTATGTTGTTTCCTATACATTCTAAATAAGAACTGTTATTTTATGTCGTTGTCTATACATTTTGAATAAGAATCGTTGTTTCATGTTGTCTCCACATTCTTAAGAAGAACTCTTATTTTATATCGTTGTTATACATTCTGAAAAAGAACTGTTATTTTGTGACGTTTCCTGTGCACTGAATCTGTATAATTAGCCACCTGATTTGATGACAATCAGAAAAAAAGGACACCAAGAAATAATATTTGAGATCACAAAAATTTATTGGTCGGGTTACAATCGACAAAAGAGTTACATATGTAAAAGTGACTATCTTTTTTTTAATGCAAACTTACTTTTACTGTTTGAGTAAACAAGATGTTATAGGTATGAAGATTGCATTGGGTACAATGTGATTCCTTTAATTTTGGGGTACCAATATTTGTGAAACGTTTAAAATTCACAATTTCGATTTAATTTAGTGAATACAAGATTTTAAAAAAGAAGTGTTAGGGATCGAAATTCTCTATTTCACTCTTTTTGGGACGTCATTTTCAAGAATATCTAGGTTCCATTTAATCCTAGAAAAATATCCTTATGGTGAAATGATGCCAGGTTATTATCAGGGGAGAAACTGGAAAACAAAAGGCTGGTGATGCTTTGCTTCTCAGATAGAAGTTTGATATAAGGTAATGTAGATGTAGATTCAAACAATACTAGTACCTTGGGCAGAGAGACTGATCAACCTCACCACAGAGATGGTTAAATTGGAAAAAAATTGTGTGAAGTTCGATTCTGTGTCATGTTTAGAAAGGCGATACATGTAGTATTAAATTATATTTTTGATATGGATGCATCGTGTATTTTAAAATCAATTTTTCAATGTCCTAAAAATGTTAAAAAGATCTTCCAAAAAAGAAACCACTCTTTCTTGTTGATAATGTAGCTTTTAGAAGCTAAAGTGAATTATAAAAACGTGTAAAAAAATCAATGAACGAACAATTCATCATGAATTCAAGATAGTTAAAAAAAAGAAGAAAAAAAAATCCCAAAATAAACTAATCAATTTAAAAATAATTTAACATTATGATAATATAACGGATTTAAAGAATTGACTTTTATTTAAATTTTAAAACATTAGAAAGAAAAAGATTGTTCTAAATAGACTTTAAACACAGAAGAGATTTTAGTTAAGAAGTTGGTTCTATTTGGGTTCTTCTCTTGTAGTTCCCGGCACAAAGGTTTTTGGTCATTGTTTTTTTTTTCAAAGATTGCTTTTTGGATTTACACAGAAAGATGCAATCGACGAAAAAGTAACTATTAAGGCCACCATCTATTGTAGGAGATCCATACAATGATAACACACCTCTGCTGTGATAATAAGTATACAATAGCCATGTAACTTTATATATATATATATATATATATATATATATATATATATATATATATATATATATATATATATATATATATATATATATATATATATATATAATAAGGAATGTTTTGTTCTGCATAATATTCTTGCTAAATAAATAAAAAGGAAACCCAACCATTTTTTATCAACTGAAATTCATGATACAATTAAAATCAATGTCACAACTATTATCTTCATAGACGGCGTTTATATTTTTGGTAATGTGATCTTTATTTTTTTCAAAGCGTCGATAATGGTCTTGCCAGCATGTAAATATTAATTTATTGATTTAAAAGGATAATTTTCAATTTAAACAAAAAAACATGAATAATAAAGGACTCAGCAGTGCGCTTTTAACAATACTCCTCTCTTTAAATTCTTGATCTATAAAAATTATCTCGAAATTACAATGTATAGGTAAATCTTGTAATTATGTTCTGAACATGAAGTCTGCATGTTGAAATATACTCATTTTTAAGCTGCATAAAGATTGGTCGTCGGAAAAAAGAAATGTTGGCTTTGTGCTTGGACTGCATAACCTCACAATCTAAATGTTTACTCAAGAGACACCTATATCTATAGTTTTTTATATTCTTTATTTTTTTCACTTTTAATTAGTATGCATATTGTGTATTAAAATTATTCAAGTTTCTGCATCGTAGTCATCATATTAAAACCTGTCCTTCGACCTTTGACACATTGACTCCAAAATTTACACTTGTCTTTTCCATGGCCTGTTCCTCCTACGTGCTAAAATATAAATTCTGCAAGGTACAGCTAGAATAACTTAGTACTTTTATCACAATTGTCTTATCTCGATCTTTGACATTTAATCGAGTAAGTCGAAAATTTGTGTCTTCCTCTAGGTATTTTTAACACCCATGGAATCATTATACATGCGAATTCCTATTGTGGATTCATCGGTACTCCTTGTCAACAAGTAATATTCTAAAGGATACTAGTATTTCATATATAGACGGTCGCCAACGAAACTACTTTCCCATGAACACGTAACTTTTAACGTGTATATGAAAAAAAATGATTCCATAGAATGTACAGTCCATTTGAAATACACGTAGGTTGAAAGGTACGGTTAAGTTATTGCATGATTTCAATATGCCACGGTCATCACAACTGTGGTAGGTTTGAGCCTTGATCTTTGTTACACTGAGACTGATTTTGGATAATTTCAATAAATCTCTTACTGGACATATTACTAGTACATAAAATAAATTGTGAAAGAAGACAAACTTCAATGAAGTACTCAAACAGATCCTTAATGGTGGGTTGATTATACCTCGTATTACCAGTTACATGTCTTGATAACTGAATGGTTCCCATTGTCGTGAATTGGATGTACACCTGAGCTCGGTAAGTGTACTTTGTGAACAACTTTGCTTTTTTTTATTAACAAGTGCCTTCTTCATCTGTTGTAGTTTGTTTTTATGATAAAGATCGCTGAAGTTTGTAGTGAGGATGGCTACAGGCATGGCCAAAATAAGCATCCCAGAGAATGCACACGCCCCTCCAACAATGTAACCAAATGTAGACTTTGGAAACGTGTCTCCGTACCCCACGGTTGTCATTGTAATCACAGACCACCATATCCCGATGAAAATATCCGAGAAGGTGTCTGCCACGTAGAATTCAGCATAGTAGATGAAACTTGCAAAGAATAGTGAAGCGATAAGAAACGTCAAGGAGAGAAGAAGAAGGTCTTCGAAGCTAGCCCGTATCGACATCATCATTATTCGCAAACCGGAGTACAGCTTCATCAGTCTAAACACCCGAAATAGCCGCAAAACTATTAAGGACCTGCTCACTAAATAGAATTGCACTACTTCATAATGCTTCACCAGAAACCCCAGATCCTTTTCGAGAATAAAGGTTACCCACATGGCAACCACCAAGAGAAGGTCAATGATGTTTAAAGGTAATCGAAAATATTTCAATCTTCTTGGACAAGATATGAAATGAAAAATTAGTTCAACCGTGAAGAAGACGGAGGTGAATATTTCGCAGTGCCTTAGTGCTTCGTTAGGGAGTGATGTTCCAAGCATGACTTCTTTGGGGTTCTGCAAATTGAGTTCTTTGAAAAAGCGAATGCTTCTGTTTGCAATAACGAATGAAAGTCTATCATATGATAGCTTCTCCTCTCTGAATGGCGGATGTGAACCTAACACAAAGGTCACCATTGAAATAATTACAAAGACCAGGAAAATGTAGTTAAAAACCTGGAAACATAAAAATGCATGAATATATATGCAATAATTTTCAAAGAATATTAATATACTAAAAACTTCATCAAATACTTTAGAATTTTATCAAAACTGTCCATGTGTTCAAACTTTCAATTTTGTATGAAAATATGACTAAAATATAGTATCATATTATAGTGTGTGTGTATATATATATATATATATATATATATATATATATATATATATATATATATATATATATATATATATATATATATATATATTAGGGATGGCAATCGAATACAGAATTGCTAATCGGTTAACCGCAAGACGTTCCGACCGATTAATCGGTTAGTCGCATCGTATCAAAATACACATTTTTTGACTTTTTTTATGTATTTGTATTTATATACACTAGAAGACTGAAAGAGAGACGTGGTTTGAAGTTAGAAACATTCTGTTCATTATCTTGATCAGGAAACTATATGTACATATAAATTATTTTATTTCAATTTCAATAGTTAGACAAGAAAAAAATAAGAAAACCATGAATCTTGCATGAGAAATCAGACACAGAAAGATATCTTTCCAGTGCATATGTCGCACAAATTCATTCTTCATTGTCACAGTAATCAAAACTTTGTCCGAACTTTAACTTATACAATGTTTTTCTAATAATATAATAGAGAACGGCAAAAGATCGATACGTATACATACTCATTAAAACTGCTCAATGGAGATTATGTAAAATCAAAAGTATTACGGGAGGGTCAGGGTACCAATATAATGTTTTTAAAAACAGTAATTGATACTTCACAAACTGATCAATTATTACCTCGCGATCTCAATCCTGAGAGCCATAATTACCTCCAAATCAGCTTAATAAGATGTGTAAAAACGCTGAACTATCAACTTTTATGCAGAGATTCCCTTTCTTAAAAACGAAATTTAAGAAAATTGCGTTCAATTTTACATATCTTAAATTTTCCGATTAACCGATTGCAGATTTTCTAACCGATTACCATCGTTCCGACCGATTAATCGATTAACCGGTTACAAATTGCTATCCCTAATATATATATATATATATATATATATATATATATATATATATATATATATATATATATATATATATATAGTATCAACAGCAATGAAGGAGAAACTTCAAGAGTTCTGTGCAACAATATATCCGAGAAGTCGTGTAAATCAGCTGTGGATACTTAAAAATTCCAAGGAACTTTTGAAAAATTTGAAATCACAAAATTTCACCAAAATCAATAACATAAAAGCGTACAACTTTTCAACTCTGTATACAACCATTCCCCAAGATAAATTAAAGTCCAGATTTTTTGACATCATTGACAGCTGCTTTTTCAATAAAAATGGAACTCGTAAATTTACTTACCTTGTCATTGGTCATTTGCAAAATTATTTTGTTAAAAACATTCTGATTGTACACGCAAGTACTAAGAAGTTGATAATAAAAAGATGTTTGAGTTTCTGATTGACAATATCTATATAGTTTTTGGAGACCAGGTCTTCCAACAATCTCAACAATCTGTTGGAATTCCCATGGGTACTAATTGCGCCCCGTTGTTAGCAGACCTATTTTTTTTATTCATATGAAGCAGAATTTATTTAAAATTTTATACATGAGAAAAAGAAATCTCTTGCTAAGGCCTACAACTCGACATTTTGATATATCGACGACGTATTGTCAATTAACAATAGTTATTTTCAATCATATGTCGACACGATATATCCCAGTGACCTTGAAATAAAAGATACCACAAAGTCTGACACATCTGTTTCATATTTGGATATTTTACTGGAAAATGACGTTAAGTAAGTTACTGCGAATTAAATTTGATCCCCGTTCACACGGGGAATTTAATTCGAATTAGTTTACTGCGCATTAAATTACTTCACATTAGCTCCGTGTGAACGCTAAGCGAAGCTAAATCGAATTAAATTTTGACGCATGCGTAAGGGCAGAATTAAGTCACATGCCACATGTCGGTGGTCAAATATAGGTATCTGTGCTATTTTTGAGTGGAAAACAAAGGAAAACTATCTTAATCACTAAAAACTGTACAGACACTATGAAATTATGTCAAATGTATATCTGCTCTGCACAATGTGACGTGATCTGCAAATGACGTCATAATAGCCTTACTGAAAAGCCTAATAGTAGAAATTTAACATTTTTAAAATTCGCATAGGTTTACTTCGCATTAGCTGTCGTGTGAACGCAATTTAATTCGCATTAGTTTACTTCGCATCATTTTACTTCGCATTAATTTACTGCGAATTAAAATCTCCGTGTGAACAGGGCATTAGTTTGCGTTATTATTTGAAATGTAACAACGCTAATTGCTTTGAATAAGACGGAAAGGGGAGTTTTAAAATACTTCTTTTTTTAAAAGTAATTTATATTTTTAGTAGTTCATTTTAGTGACAATTACTACACCTTCCATCGAAGTACATGTACATTGGATTAAACTACTTCTTGAGTAAATCGTCTTTTGTACTAAGGTATAATCTAATAAGTCGGAACCTTTTGTAGTTTTTTTTAATAAACGTCATATTAGACATATCTTAACAATAAATTTACATGATAAAAAAAACTAAAAAAATATTATGATACGTATCAAAATTGAGAAAATGGGGTCACGGTCAAAATTGAGTACACATGTCTATATAGTCACATCTCTAAAAAATAGATCAGAAACGAAATAAAATATATATTTTCATTTAACCATTGTTACATTATTTCAGACAAGTAGTCCTAAAGTCCTAATTGGGGGGCGGGGGCTAACGTCGCAGGCAGGTAGCGATACAATTTTATAATTTTTCTCGAGAAATCTTTAACCTCTCTAACAAACTCTGAAAATGCTGGAGGAACTAGGAGATAATATAATTTATATCAAAAGTGAGCCAAGCATTTGTATTTAAAAGCATAAGACCGTTTTGAGTGGTACAGACTTTCAACGCGGTAAAGAATTCGAAAAACTTGCAAACTAACTTATGCTACTCATACAATTGTTTGCAAACGAAGTGTCAAGTGTTTATGCGGATGCTTTAATGAAAGGGTAGGGCACTACACATCATATGAGAAATGAAAAGGGGGAGTAATTTTCAGAAACTTTCATGACATTGTGAAGAGTGCGCCTATTGACGAAATATATTGATTTTAAAATTAAGGAACATGAATTAGGTTTACTCAAATCGAATGAAATTTTACATATCGACTTAATAAATGTTTTTACATTTGAAAAAATGTTGATCTTATTTTTTTTTTAAATAATATGATGATGTACGACATTTTCCTCGTTTTTTTTAAATGACCCTCGTAAGTAATTAGTCGAAAGCAGTTAGAAATTATTTAACGGATTTACCTATTTCTAATAACCATGTACATGTACTTTGTTCATGGAATCTAAAAATAAAGAATTATAAGAATTCTATACTAATATACCAAAATCAGAGGAAACTGGAGAAATGAAACGTGAAGGACCAGGATTACAAACAACTTGTGGAGATTATTCTATTTAACTAACTCAGACTACATCGTTCATAGAAGATTAAATCGATACAAAGAATTATGTTTCCTTTAATGTTCTGTTCAAAAATAGACGAAAACTGTAGAAGGTGTTTTAGAACAAGTTAAACATTAATCTTTGTTAGTTACCATAGCAACACATATAATCAAAATAAAAGATAGAGATGTAGATATTAAGTATCCAGATTTAATCAATTTGTGTGCAAAGTATAAATGAAATGAAATCGGGCAACTGTTGGAGAAGTAGCAGTAAAAAAAAAGTGTTTACATACAGAAAAATGGGCACTTTAGCACTGCATATAAGTTTTTCTTTTCTTCAACAAATAAAGCTAATAACAACAGCGGCAATCAAAACTGGAATACAGTTTACGACGCAAGAACGGGAAAGTGTTATATTCTAGAGTCATCATTAATTAATATTATTGTGTGTTTAAGAGACCTCACTAACACTAGGAAGAACAAACCAAGTTGACCTATTACAGTTTTCGTTTGATACTCTAAACTAACAGCTCGCAGACGTCTCTAGTCGCAAAACAGTTGAAGAAACAGGAAAACTCGATCGGGAAAATTATTTATTGTAGGTCAGTTTTCAATTGGCGATTCGCGAATAAAAAATATCGGGTATATAATTCTTAGTTAGATGCATAGAGGACTTCCAGCCATCTGCCTGAACTATTTGTTAGATTTACTCGTATTTAGCTTGTTTTCTTTATTTTCGATAAACTTCATCAAATACTAGTATACAAAATTTCATTTACATGTAATAGTATATTCAGAAAGTATTATCCGCGCCCTCTAGTATAAAAGAAAATTATCTCCCTTTTCTTTAGAAAACTGTCATATTTATAAAATATTCATTTTACTGAACAAGTGTACGTGTTCGTACTCTCTTCAGTTTTAGTTTGAGGAATTTATGTAAAACATGTCCAAACCAATTTCCAGGTAAAACAATCAATATGGTTGTGAAATAGATTAAAACTTACATTCACATTTTTAATTGTTGAGAGAGAGAGAGAGAGAGAGAGAGAGAGAGAGAGAGAGAGAGAGAGAACCTTAGCTAATCTTGATGACGATGGTTCCTCCAATGTCAGCCATATCTTCCTGAGAATTCTTTTGACTTGACTTGTACGACATTCCTCTTCAGTGTAATCCAGTTCATATTCTTCAAAAGTCTGTCTTAACTTCTGTGTCGTCTGGATGTCGGCCTCTGATTGGATATATTGTTGCAGACAGCAATCTGAAAGCATATTGGGTGAAAGTTCCCAAAAATCCAGTTCCTGTTTTATTACGGTGCTGCAATAGAACGAAGGAAAGTGTAGGGTGCCCGTACGATACAAATCCAAAATTGATAGAAATACGTTAGGATTTTTGTCGAAGAAATAAGACTTTCTTGTGCTGTCGTAGAACTTCGATTGTTTTGTTAGTCTTCCAAATAAAGTATTTGGGTATCGAGAGAGAGTCACAGCCGATGTTTCAAACACCGAGCCCCCCACGTTAATTTTCACTGTCTCCATTGTACTGCCTCAGCCTGTAATCGTGACTGTCTAAATTCGATCATCATTATGTAGTTGCAAACAGAAATATTTATTGGAAAGAGTGTTATTACAATCAACACGTTAGTTTTTAATATTTTTAAATTAGGATGCTCTGGAAATTCTTGGTAAATTATATATGAATTATGTCAACTACAGCTAAAAATATCCCTATGGCCCTGTGGGGCAGGAATACGATTGCTTTGTTCTTATAAGTGTTTCATACCAAAATCGATAAGATTTAATTTTCCAGAAGGGTTAATTAAAAAAAAAAGGACCAAACGCATATTCATCAACCCACACTAAAAATACAGGCAATGAAAATAGATTTCTATGTCTCAGCATATGTCTTTAGATAGTGTCTAAATACCTGCCAAATATCTCGTTGATATCTCAATTAACAAAAAAGTTATGCCCAAAAATGATGCTAAAATTGTCAGGAGTGCAACACCTTTTCGTGACATTTTGAAATTTCAATATTTTTTGGAGATCTGTGAAATAAATAAGAATGCTTTATGTTGAAAATGATGACTTTCCTGATAATATTCAAAGTATTGAGCTTTAAATGTGGACAGTAGTAACTTTTGTTAAATCAAGTTGTGGTCATGGTTGATGTTAAAAAAAATGTTATACCATGTCAGGAGTGCAACAGAAAAAAATGTAGTGTTGCCAAAAAAACATCATTTCTAAAATTCTGAAAGAAAATTAAGACAAAAAAGAATTTTCGAAGTGTAAAACAATAACTGATATACATTTTAAAACTTAAAAGTGTTGTATAAATCACAAGCAGCATTAATAAGAGTCAAGTATATGTGCATACCGAATAATGTCGGGAGTGCAACATTTGATGTTTTGCTCTCAAGCATGAAAAAAAAACTATTATCATTATATGATTTTCTGATTTTTATTTTGGAAAATAAAGACACAAAGAACATTTTTACCAAATAGATTTATCAATTACAGGATCTGTCTGTGCTTCAGATCTATATTTCTATGGTCAGGAGTGCAACACATTTTTTTAAAGATTCAAGTTGTGTGAGGAAAACACTTCTATTCATGCTTAGAAGTATTCGTTAATTAATAATGATCTTTTTGTATAATTTCATACTAATTATTGAGAGTTTTATTATTGAATCCTTCCTTTTTCAATTTTATCAATTCAGATGTGTTTTTATCTTTTTTGTAATTTTTTTAATGAATGTTAAAAACACACACTAAAAATTGTCATAAAATTCAAGTAATTCCTCCTCAGCTTCACTGAAACAACAGAACAAGTTCTTATGTAATTTTTACTTCACAATTCTACTTTAAAGGCCCCAGTGCTTTTGGTCAGGAGTGCAACAAATATGTTAGAATTACAAATCATCCAATAAGAATAAAAATAAAGTAAAAATGATGAGCAGAATTTTTCTAGTGGATTACTGTGTTTGTCCTCTAAAGGAAAATATGCTACAAAATATATTTTAGCTTCTAAACATACATTTAAGCTAGTTTTTTTTTGGCATAAATAGGGAATAATTCTAGATAAAATGCAAATTTTAAATACTTTCATCTGTTTTAATTATGAAGTTTATTTATGATTTTTTGTGTTCTATGGTTTTAATTTTAAATTCTATTGCAGTCAGGGGTGCAACAAAACTGCTTTATAATTACCAATGCTTTTTAACTATCTTTACTGAAAAATAAGTTGAAAAAAATATTTGATACTATTTGATGTTCAAAATACTGTGTCTATCAACAAATTACAGAAATTTTAGTGTCATTCAGGGAATAGTTTTCATCATTCACAAATATTTTTAAATACAATTTATATATATTACACTTTGCAAATAATCATGTATTAAGGTCTTCAAAATATGAAAAACCTGCTGTAAACGATGAACAATATCAAAACGACAAATTGATTTACAAAGTAAGAATGGATTATTGTGTGTTATAATTTTTAAAACAATGTTAAATAAAATACATATCAGATGTCACGAGTGCAACACAGTAATGTAACAAAGGGTCACTTCAAATATAGTATTCTTTGTAGGAGAACTCGTATATAAAAAAAATTCTTTTTTGGCTTAGATTTAAAGAATTGACTTGAACGGACAAAAAAGTGAATTTTGGGGAATTTTATTGCTTCATTTTTTTTTCATATTAAAACTTTTCAAACCAGAATTGAAAAAAATAATGTAAAATAATCAAAAAGCCAATTTTTTGTACATATACAAGAGAAGATACTCAATCAAGGTCTAGATTTAATCATTTATACCCCTTTTACCATTTCGAAGCATTCAGGATTTTAACTTCCGGATTTTAAACTAGAATGCATGTGCAATATGATGATATAAGTGAAAAATATGTTATGAGTAGCGGAATTTTTCCAAAAAATTTCAGTTTGGTGGTCATTTTTTTTTTAATTCACCCAGTATATAAGTCTTGAATCATTAATGATGGTTATACAATGATATTGAACAGCTGGACAACGCGCTCACCTGAATAACCATGCATGGTTTTGCTGTTCTTTGTCATCAGGTTTAAAAAAAACTTTATTCCTATGAGAATTTTCAACAGTCTACTCTAACCCCAAGGGATGACAACTTTACCAAACTTGAATCAACATAAAAACTTAAAAACTTTGATCCCTCATTCTTGTCCCGCTCTACCCTCATGGGCCATGATTTGCATAAAATTTGAGAATTTGCATATTGATTAATTTGAATATCATGGACTTGCTGTTCTTGAAAAGAAGATTTGTAATTATTTTTTTTCAAACATCCCGACATAAAAGTTTGATTCCCTAATGTGGACCCATCAAGGATACTTGAGTCACCTTTGGTTTGAAATTTGCCCAGTTGTTCTAGAAAATACGTCGAAAATGTGTTACTGTGAATTCAATAATTTTCGTGAGGTTTAATTTGTTTTCGTGATGTGAAAAGACCCACCAATTCATTCCTTCACGACATGTAAAATTTGAATAAATAGCAACTTCTTCAATCACTTCAGCTTATAGCTCAGGTGAGATAAAAAAAAGTTGACGTCTTCATTATAAATGTCGAAATGTATAATTTCAGAAAAATTGTCCAAAGTTCTTTTGTTGTTGTTGTTGTTGTTTTGTTTTTATGCTCCCGTAATTCGGAGGTACATGTATATAGTTTTTGCCCTGTCCGTCCGTCTGTTTGTCTGCAAAAACTTTAACCTTGCCCATAACTTTTGATCGGTTGGAGCTATGGCTTTCATATTTCATTTGTGTAATCCTTGTGACAAGACCTTTCTTTGGGTAACATAAAATTTGACCTTTTGACCTTGGAGTTTGACCCACTTTTGCAATTTTGTTTTAGACTTTAACCTTGGCTATAACTTTTGAGTGGTTGGTGCTGGGGCTTTCAAACTTCACATATGTATTCCTTGTGACAAGACCTTTCTTCAAATACCATTAACTTTGACCCTTTGACCTTAGAGTTTGACCTACTTTTGAAAAAAAGTTAACCTTGGCCATAACTTTTGAACCGTTGGTGCTAGGGCTTTCATACTTCACATGTGTATACCTTGTGATAAGACCTTCCTTTGGATACCACAAAAACACTTTGACCTTGACCTTGGAGTTTGACTCTGTTTTGAAAAACTTTAACTTTAGCCATAACTTTTAAACGGTTGGTGCTAGGGCTTTCATCTTTCACATATGTAATCCTTGTGACAAGATTTCCCTTTGGGTACCAGCAACTTTGACCCTTTCACCTTGGAGTTCGATCTACTTCTGAAAGACTTTAACTTTGGCCATAGGTGCCAGGGCTTTCATATTTCACACATGTATTTCTTGTTATAAGGCCTTTCCTTGGGCATCATTAATTTTGACAATTTGAACTTGACCTTGATGTTTGACTTACTTTTGAAAAACTTTAACCTTTTCCATATCTATTCAATGGTTGCTGCTAGGATTTTCATATTTCACAGGTTTATTCCTCGAGACTAGACCTTACTTTGGGTACCAATATATTTGATTTGCATTTGAGAAAGTTTATCCTTTGATATGAGTTGCAGTAAGGGGGCATCAGTGCTTCACAAACACATCTTTTTTTTTTTTTTTATTAAATTAAGAGTTCTCTTCTCAAGCAAATAAACCATCAAAACCAGCTTTCAATGTATACCTTGTGCTTTGATTAGATAAAGAATTGAAGTTTGATTGATTGATTGTATATTGTTTTACGTCCCATTCGAGAATTTTTCACTCATATAGAGACGTCACCATATACCGGTGAAGGGGTTCAAATTTTGACCTTTATTCGGCACTCAGGGCCATTGAGCAGTGAGGGATCTTTATCGTACCAACGCCTGCCGTGACACGGGGCCTCGGTTTTTAAGGTCTCATCCGAAAGACCCGAAACTTTCACGTCAAAGTGCCGAGCGCATGGCGAAGGAACAGTTGCTACCTATTTTTGATCGACTTAGGTCTGTCGCGGCCGAGATTCGAACTCACGACCTCCTGATCACGGAGCGAGCGCTCTACCTACTGAGCTACTGTGAACGGTAATTGAAGTTTGAAAGAATGGGCGAAATTTTCTCTAGCTTTGAAAAACAGGCAGCCCTTTTCTTCATTTACGATAAAACGTGTGCATCTCATTGCAATGAAATGTGAAGACAATGAACAGTTATCAAGCTCAGAAGTCCAAATATACATTACAAACTGTGAGCAGAGCAAACACAGATCAGCGAAAACAGATCAGGTGCCATGGAGACCTGAGCATCTCATGTCAACAGGTTACACCCGCCGTGTATCCATTGTCATAACGAAAAAAGTCGTAGAAAATTCAGTGTGAAAATATTGGCCTAATAATTTGTATATGAAAGACGTCAGTCAACATCAGACTGAAGAAAACATAGTTATCATTTGCTGAATGTTGACTTTAAACGAGATTGTTGATATCTTTGTAATCATCAACTTATTTGTCGATTGCCTGTCTCATTTTAGACATTGTTCATACGCAGAACATGCTCTTAAATCGAATCAATGAGGAGACATAAACCCCATATGCAGGTGCTAATGGTATATTGCTACATAAATAAGGGAAGTTGGCGATAGAAAAGTCGAAGTCATCACTTTTATCGTAAAGTTTACTTACCAACATACAACTTGGGAAAAAAGATGAACGATTAGTATTAATTTAATCAGAAAGAGTAATTAAGCTTCTCTGAATAATTAAGTTAAAAACATATATTTTAGGGTTTGGCCCACAGTAATGGATAATGGCCAATATACCTTGATAATTAATTTCAAAATTGTTGATTTTCTCTTCATTCATAGATGCTATATGCCAAAATTGGCTCAGCTGTCCCAGAGAACCTTAAAATGTTCAAATGTTAACAGATCATGCACACACAACAAACAAAAATAGATAGCAGTGGGTCATGCGAGTGACTCAGGTGACCTGAAAATGTTAGAGAATTTTGTAAAACAGTTTATACAGTCTTTATTATTCCTAGAACATATATTTTCCAGGATTTTTTCTCCTTAAACCTTCCTTCATTTTGCTTTCTCCCCCAAATTTATTCTTTCATATTTATATTGAAATTCAGTGCCAAAATAAATAATTATACTTAGTACTTCAATTTTACTATGAACAACTTAAATCTAACAAGGAAATACAAGAAGGAATGATAAACCTCTTTTTTTCTTTGGGTATACTCTAATCTTTAATAACATGTTTGACTGAAACAAAAGATAACAAAATAACTGGTACAATTATAGACTCTTTTATTTCTCTAAAAAGAGTGATCTATAATTAGGAAATATCTGTTATCTAGTACATCAAAATGACAGAAGATTCAAATATAAGGGATACAAGAAGGTTTTCTATTAATATCAGAAGTTTAAGACTGTTATAATGTGGGAATGGTATCCTTGCTAACAAAATCACATAGGTCAAAACTGTGCCAATGTCTGCTAACTACATTAATATAAATTAAAAAATCAACTGAAAGTTAAAAAACCAACATCCCCAAATGTCAGTGCATGATACATGTATCATTTTTCAATTTTCAACTTTGTGTGGGAAATTAAACTGATAAATATTAAACCATTAACTTCACATACTATTGGACTTTGTTAATTTTTTTTGGTATGAATTCTGTGTTAAATTCTAATTATTTTACAGAAAGAACCTTGACAAAGAAACTAATACCAGTCAGGACAACACAGGTAGTCATACTGCAGTAGCTGGTATCTAACAGAAATATATTATTATCACTCAATTTTTAAAGCTTGAAATTACCATAAAGAAACACATACATTTTCCATTCGTGGAAACTGAAATGATAAAAAAAAAATATTATTCATATCCAACTTTGCTTCATAAAATATTTAAGGCTTTTCTGCAAATACTCTTCTTTACATTATTTGAGTAAAATAAATTTATCAAAAAAAAATTCTCTCCCAATTTCTTAATTTAAGGGAAATGGAAGGAGTTTGTCCAACTTTTGTGTCATCATTACAATATATACTTGTAGAATTCCCTTTTCATTTTGTACATATACATAAAATTCCTGAATTAGTACAAAGATTTATGGAAAGATGCAAGGAAGATTAAGTCACTTAAATTAGTTATAGCATGCCACAGATTTATTTTGAATTCAAACATACCCAACTCATTGTTTCTGTCTACAACAAATCTCACAAAATACCCATCGTGGTAAAATCTGATAAGAATACTATTCAAAATTTTATTACTTCCCTATAGGACTTTAAAGGTTCAAATATTTCTGTAAGAATCAGTCACTTAAACACCCAGAGAATAACCTTTAAGTTGTTCCATGAAAAAACTACCATTCTAATGATAAAAGCCATGAATACACAGGCATAACTGAAGTAAAATATCACAGCATATCAAATAAATAATATTATATTTTGAGTCTAGGTGTAATAGCTTGATATACAAAAAGAAATGTCATCTGAATCAAAGATATAAACTAGAATTTTAATTATCCGAGAAATTACTTTATAATTATACATACCATTATAAATTTTTCTGTTTAAATGAAAAAAGGCTATATATGATACATTATTTCTAAAAGTAGTCATTATTAGCAATTGTGGTAAACTTTTCCATAAATTCATAAGTCTGCACCAAAATTGAAAATATACACTGAACATTGAAAACTCTTGATCCCCCATCCCTTCTATGAGTACTGGTAGTCTTTTTTTAACTGGGTTTTTCTAGTACATAAAATAAATTGCAAATTGTAGTGCTTTATATGAGTGACTCATTAACATGTGCAACAATCAACTTCATGTAAACAAAAAATTCTCAAGACCAACACAATAATAATTGGACGGTTTCTACATTTTTTCAAACAACCAAATAAGATATACATATAATGTACATTTAACTAGAATTCATGTAAATAAATAAATAAAGGTATAAGGACGGAATGTTTCTGATATCACGATAAAGATACAATATACTTGTATATACTGCATATATATATATATATTTATATATATACTGCATATATATATATTTTAAAAAATGTGTTGGGTTCAAATTAACAGTAAATTATTGATAAAATTATATAATATGCATGTGTATAAAAAAGCATTTCTTAACACTTTTTTTTCTAACAGTAACTAAAAACCAGCAACATTTTAACATATTGTGAATAATCAAAACGAATTGTGTGCAGAGTATGCACTGTACAGTCTTAAGTTTGTTTTCTACACAAGTTGTCCGTAAGTTCCTTTTCTTTTAATGTGTGTGGTGTATTAAAAAATAATCATTTGAAAAGGTATTCAATACCTTTTATGATATTATCAATAACACAGAATCAAAACAAAAAAATCTGTAAAATAATACTTTTCTCTTGCACATTTTCCTACCATTCTAACTATCATTCATCAATAAATAAGTTCTCTAATTCTCTGACTGGCAATAAATAAATGAGAACATAGGATATATATATCACAGATTACAGTTTACAGGAAGCTGTACTGACAGTTTTCTCTCACTACTCTAGCTTATACGGCGGAAATATTAACAAATCACTGTGTATAAAAGAGGCACATCAGTTACGATCGACCTGTAGGGGGGCGGGAACGACGAGAGTGAGGGGAAGGACTTTTCCCGTACGTACTACTGCGGCCGCTGCTCCTTCCCGAGGGAATGGGAGGCTTAGCACTTGTTGGGGTCATTCGGGCTGTTCTGCTGTCCTAAAAAAATATCCAAGAACAAAATTAATCCATGCTGAGCAACTTGACCAATCCATAGGTTTACTGAAGTGAGTAAAAAATCTTTGAAAAATTGGTTGGGAGTCTAATACTCTTTATCAATAGTTTGAATACATTCTAAAGACTGGGATCTTAAAATTCCAAGCTAATGCTTTTGTTTCTTTCCTAAGATTCTACAAATCTTTTAGTAAGCTATAAAAAGTGTGCTCAAGTCTTCAATTCCTACATGAACCCAATGACAGATGACACTACAAGTGATAGTAAAATGAGTAGTCACATTTGTAACTCAATGACCATAAAACATATACAACTTTGTCCTTATGATATTCCAAGAAAATGAACTAAAATATATAAGCTACATTAATTTTATAAGGTAATAAGTAAAAATATTTTATTAAAATGATTCTATTTCTAAAAGAATGAATCCTAAGTCAAGTCTATATTTGCACACTTTCAAGCTAGGCTTACAGGGAATATTATAGAGTTCCCTCACCAAAACCTTGTGGAGTGTATTCACTTTATTTGTGTTATCTGTAACTTGTCATAACTATATTCTACTATGCATTAGTAAATTTATTCCAAGACATACATTTTTTTGTTAAAATCATATTTTAAATTTCAATTCATACTTTTTCTAATTCCAAACATCAAAATATTATCATGCTTTTCAGCAGAAAAGGTAAAATTTTTATCTTAATGTACTTGTAGGTTTGTTAAAATCTTTTAAAATTATAGTTACATTTGGGGGGGGGGGGGGGGGGGGGAATTTTGAATCTATAGCTAACATGTCAATTTAACAAAATTTCACAGTTTTTTTTTTTCTTTACCTTGCTGATTCAATTTTTCCTCTGTTATGCCCTTGACCTTTGCTAATTATACTTATCAAGCAGTAAGCAATCTTTGTAAAGTACATTTTCCCCTATATTATAAGAAAGAATTTTTTCCAATAAACATATTCATGTATGTTAAATTCTAAAAATAAAGATAAGATATATATATATATATATATATATATATATATATATATATATATATATGATCATGAAGAAATATATTACAGTAAAGCTGGTTTAGAATGAACACAGATATAGCGAATTTACAGATATGAAAAAGTTTTTTTGAGATCCCCAGCAAAATTCTTAACAAATCCTTGTAAAATTTTATGGTTATAACGAACACGGATATAACAAATTTATGGATATAGCGAATTGATTTTGTATTCCGTAGAAGTAAAAATACCACAATAAACATCTTTTAAAACAAATTTCTAAGATCCCAAAATTTAAAGTATTGAACTGACATTTTTTTTATGAATATTTATATTTGAAATTAAATTCATTTAAAATATTTAGTGCTCCAAGATATTTTTGGTATTTAATACTTCCCAGAACATATTTGGTAGTCATGCATAAAGGAAAACGTGTATTGTGAATCCATTATACATGTTCATGTATATAATTTCACAAATTCTTTATACTGATATAACGAATTACTGATATAGCAAAGTAAATTAAAAGGTCCCCAAGACTTCGCTACATGTATAACCGAGTTTTACTGCATAAGCATTAATGATTTAGTATATAGCTATGATATTGAACTTGAGTAATATAAAAGCATCGATATAGACCAGTGTTAACCGACAAAGTCACATTATGTGTACCCTCCCACACTACATGCAACAACACTAACATGCTCTCCATTACAAAGGTCAAGGTCACTTACTCAACTGCCCTCTCAGCAAGGTTTTCATCCTTATAAACAAAGTGTAATACATCAATGTCACTGTGTACATTTATAATAAAATATAAAATACCTTTTTTGGGCTTTTTAAAGCAGTTTTGACATTGTTTACTTCCAGCAAATGTGATAAGCAGTTACTTTATTAAAGCAGAATATGAGCAAACAACAAGTTACTAAGTGCTACAGACTACTCTAAGAAAACATTGATAATGTAACAGATATTTGTTTAACTACAATAGTCAATTCCATTAGTACCTGTAATTTAGACTATAATTTTACAACACTGCAGTACTAGTATTTAATAGTTCATATCTAAAAGGTCCACCCAACAATGACTGAGCTTAGAATTGTCACTCCATGACAGTATAGTAGTGTACCTACCTGTGGAACAGACTGAGACAATGCCCTTCCCTGGGCATGTCCAGGACTTCGGAATCCCTGGGGAGGGGGTATAAGGGGTCCCGCAGTATCGTCCTCTTCATTGATGACATCCTGTAATATGGTGTCTCCATTTTCCTCAGGATAGTCCTCACTGTCCATGTTCTGAAGGCGAGGAGCCCCTGGGGAGGCCTTGAGAGGGGCATCCCTGACAGGCACAGCATGTCCATTAACTAAAGGCCCTTTTGTATCCTCTTTATATTCTTCATCCATACTCTCATCAACATACCTAAAATATAAGTTGGACATTTCTCTTCAATTAATCACAGAAACTTTTAGCGGTGAACATGAGGTCTCCCCCCCCCCCCCCCCCCCCCCCCCATCTGAGATCTAATTTCATTTCAAGAAAGGTCAATGAATAGTCTTAACTTTAATCTCATGATTTCAAAAATTTTAACATACAGTGTACTGAATTTACATGATTCATAATATTTTTTGAATAATTCAACCCTGATATTCCTCCTATAGAAAATGTAAACTTTGACCCCACTCCCCCACTCTAAACTAAGGGACCATGAACAGAGGACAAAAGTACCTGTACTACATGAGGATGCTTTCATATTGACTTTAAATTTGTAGTCTGATTTTTATATAAATTTTAAAAGATTTTTCCTGAATATTTCTGTGTATTTTTTTTTAACTCCATCATGGAGAACTTGTGAACAAATTATTTTGCTGTTTGTATTTTTAAGATAACTGACCTTAGTTAATGCATTTCATTAAAAAAAAATTCCTCTCCGAGTAGGGTAATAAAAAGAAAATGAAATATGTGCATGGTTATTTAATAAGAATTTCAAAGAGCTTTAATGAAAAGGCTGACACACTTCAAAAGATTTGTGAGAGAGCAATCAATTATTAAAGCTAATGTTTCACAGTCTTTCCTAGCTCAAACAGCTCTATCATTATTTTCCCTACAAGTTTATGTATGATGAAGTTTCCCCTCTATGCAGTATCTGTAATTTAGATTATAATTTTACACACTGCAGTACTATTATTTATTAGTTCATATTCCCATCCTATAGGTTCCCATCCTATGATAGTAAACAGATGTAAACAGATGTGTCTTACTGGTAACCAAGATTGTGTAAACTAGTTCTTGTTACTACCAGTTCCTTACCTTGACTCGTGCCTCTGAGGTTGCTGTTTTGAGTATCTTGGTGCTGGGATCCCTGACTGTGCTCTCTGGGAGCGTATACTGGCAGAGGGGGGAGGATGCAGGGGGGCAGCATATCCCCGAGGTGGCTCTATGTCCATAGGTGGAGATTTAATGTCACTTTCTCTTTCTTTCTCCTTCTCTTTTTCTCTTTCCCTCTCTCGTTTCTTCTTTTTCTTTTTTCGTTCCTTTTTTTCAAACAAGTTAAAGGTTGGAGGTACGGGAGCATTCTCCAGTGGGGTAAGCATGGGAGGAGGGATTTTTCTGCCTTCCACCACTCCTTTGATAATACAAATGTTGACAACAATTACAAACTAATAAGACCTAGCAAATAAATGTACCTTTATTTCTGAGTGTGACAATTCATGTTTTGGACAAATTCTAACTTGTTCTTGATCTGAATATGAAATTTCTGTGTTTTCACTTGCATAAAATTATATTTTTACAGCGTAGTACAATACCTTATTCAACATAGTAAATACAATACCCTACTCAATATAGTTTAATACCAAGTAAAATTTGCCATCCAGATTTGGAATTCTTCACAAATCATTAACCTATAACATATACAGTTAAATTTCGGTATCTTGAACATGGACATCTTGAATACCATTGATATGTCGAAGTGATTGGGAAGTCCTTACCACATATTTCTTAAGTATTTAATCCTTGATATCTCGAATCCTCGGATATCTCAAAGTTTTTTCTCTGACCCATCGAGTTCGAGATAACGAGGTTTGAGTGTATGTACATATCTGTAGGTAACATACCTGGAGGTTTGCTTCCAGAGTCTGGCCTGTTCTGCTCACTAGGTGGCGAGGGTTTCTTTGTAAAGTTTTGCTCTGGACTTTCGGGACTAAATCTCCCCCTCTCCTGGTCCTTGTTACCAGAGTTAGGCCTCACTGGAGAGGGAGTTCTTCTTGGGGGAGGAGGTCTGGGGGGCTGTTGTCTGTAAATCTGAGCCTGACGAGGGGCGGGTCTGGGGCGAGCTGGAGGGAAAGTCTCTTGAAGATTTATTGACTGATCAAAGTGTGGAGCAATCACTGCCTGGTTAAATTTTGGTGGAGGCTTTGGTTGCATTACTCTCTGCATTGGGAAGCCATCTTGATTTTCTTCTCTTGGTTTATTGAAAGGTGGTCCCTGAAAAATCATTTTAAAACTGAACTACATGCAGCACTCTAAACCCTAATTCAGACATTCTAAACCCTTATTTATAGGATTTTTCCCATCTATCTGGTATTCAAGTGCGTAAAATTTATTTTGTTTTCAATAGCCTTTAAAAATTCTTTTTACCTTAAGCAAATTGTAGAATTAAAATAAAAGTAGACATCTTTAATGGAAAACAATTGTTTAAATACTCTGACTTTTCAATGTATATGTACATGTAGTGTCTTTTATCAACAACAGAAGAGTAACATCCCCTACTAGAAAGAGAAAATTGTAATGCATCAGTGCAGTATACCTGTGGCTGGGAGTAATGTTGTTTCGGTGGGCTGGGTTGGTGGGGATATCTGGGAGGTGGGCGGGGCTTTAATGATCCCTGACTATTAAAGCTCCTCTGACTAGCATGACCTCCAGTCTGACGTGAGGCCATTGACATGCTATCATGGTCCTCATCCTCAATGTCTGACACATCCATCCCTCCTACACTCACTCCATCAACATCCTCCTCATCTGGAAATTCAACATATAACTACATCATAACATCAGTCTTTATATAAAAAGAAAAATCTCCCTCACAGGACTGGATGTACAGCACGTCAAGATTTAAAGTGGATTACAGCACATCAAGATTTAAAGTGGATTACAGCACGTCAAGATTTAAAGTGGATTACAGCAAGTCAAGATTTAAAGTGGATTTTATGAATGCCAAATAAATGCTGACCTTGTACTGCATCATCATCTGACATCATGGGGATGTCCTCCCGCTGGACATAATTGACAGAATGGCCGTCTCCATTCATCAAACCCCTTCTCTGGTGATTAAGCTGAACCTGTATTCATTCTTATTCATAGTTATATAACAAAAAACTCATCATGTCTGTACGAATTCATAAAGAATAAAACAAATCATAACATACTGTGATTTTGATGGGTAGAACATATTGCTTAAAGTTTTCAATAAACGTAGGTATGCAGGATGAAAATAACAATGCATCTGCCATTTCTGATACAATGTAATGATGGAAGAAGATAAATAAATATAGGTTCCATAACTCTCCAGCTTGCATTCCTTAATTTTTTTAATTGTCACAAGACAAGATGTAGCTAAGTGTCTTTTAACAATTTAAAAAAAAAGATCAAGAGATAGAAACAAATTGGTCACTAAAGAGCACATTTTATGAACCTTTATCTCCCTTTGCAAAACTGAATTTCTTCAAAAATTGTTCACATTATTACTTCACACACCAATTAAATGCTGCACAGATCACAGCAATCAATCAAATGCTGCACAGTTCACAGCAATCAATCAAATGCTTCACAGATAACAATAATCAATCAAATGCTGTACAGATCACAGCAATCAATCAAATGCTGCACAGATCACAGCAATCAATCAAATGTTGGCTAGGGTTTTAAAGAGAATCAAAAAAGGAATAACTGTAGTGATGAAACATACAGAAACAATGAGAGAAAAAAAAAGTTATCTAATCTAAATCTACTTTTCTTATGAGAGTAAAGTCCTATTAACCTCAATTCTCTCCTTTCGTCGGTTCTGGAACTCTCCCCCTGCACTTGTTGACTGACGGTTGTCCTCCACATAGTTAGAGGATTGTTTAGGTTCAGATAAGCCTAGACTTTGGGATCGTCTGAGGGGGGTTCTGGGGGTAGACATTGTCCTGGGTCTCTTGGGAGGATGAGGAGGGGTAATGGGGGTTCTATAATCAGTGCTCTGCCTGGAATTCTGAAGAAAAACATGAAATGATCCATAACTACATGGTAATAGAAAGCAAGATTCTAAGTATCTTGCCAATACAGACAATCAGAAGTCTGAAAGGCTTTAATGGCGTCGAACATGAAAGACAATTTTAAAAGTTCCTTTGAATTAAATATTAATTAAACATAGTAAACATAGTATCGCAATTATAGGTATGAGGCTCTATTCCTTGGTCTGAACTAACCAGGGTCAGGATTAACCAGACTTCATTGAAAGTAAACAAACATGGGAGCCTTTTCATGTTGTTGAATAATTAATTCATCTCTTTTCAATTTTGAAGCACTAGGAAGAATTTATTTTGTTACTATTCTTTTTAATAATGTCTAAGCGGTTTTAATATTTTTAGCTTACACAACATTTTCAGTGATTTCAACTTAGCTAAGGGTTACGATCGGGTGTGGTATATGGTATAATACCAAACCCAGTAATGGAGCTCTAATCTTTAAGGTTTACAATAAAAATTTTGAAGGCTAAAGATTGAACTTTAAAAGTAAATGTTCCTAACCGTCTTGCTTGCCCATTTAAATAGTTTTGAGATTTTTTTTTTTTTAACTCTTTGTTGTTCATTTTCTTTTTACTTAGTTTTCCTGCCAAAAACCAATGATTCATGTAATTCAACTCATCGCTTTTTCGAAATTAATCTGCAGCAACTATCAGTATGGTCTCCACTTTATCTTTTGTTAGAATAAACACAGTATCTGTAATTTGTATCAGAATTAATTGTAGACATACTTGATGTAATTTTACTTTCAAGTTATTCAGAAGAGATTGATATGTTCTATTTTCTTTTGCGGATGAATTGACTGACACTTATGGTTGTGTAAAACCAGTTATGATCCGTAGTATGGCTTTCGACCTTCGGTCTACGCCATAAAAATGACTTAACTTTACTGACCATCATATATTCATAGTCCAGATCTCCATTTCCCAATCCATTAAAGCTGGTCATAGAAAGCCCCATACGGTTAGGAATAGGTGTACTGGGGTTACTCTGTAAACGTTGACGCTGGTGTGACATGATGATCAGCTGACAATAATGGAGCTGCTTGTTCCTGGCATAATCCCAAGCAGTGGCATTAAACTTGTCCAGCAAGTTCAAATCGGCTGTATAAAAATGGTCAAGTTTATAAATATCATATTCAATAATTCTTTGTGTTTGAATGTTATATTCTCTGTATTTTTTTCTTCACCATTTTTTTCTGGTATGTTTATGTCATGTTATCACTTCTTGAAATAAATTCACATCTTCAAGAATTTCTCTAAATCTTGTTCTTTAATCATACTTTCCAGTAAAAAAATACATTAGTTATGCTTTAACATGTTTTTATGGATGTAGTGAAAAATTTTAATTTGATGTGTCAAAATTCACAATGTACCTCCATAGTCTAACAAGTGGTTGATGACATCACCATGCCCATTTATAGAAGCCAAATGTAATGCTGACCGATCATTGTTGTCACGGTCCACTACTCTTTGTCGACCAGCTATCTCTAAAATTATCTTACAGGCCAGTAAGGAACCTAAATTAATGTAGAAATAGTGTTCACACCACGAAACAATGAAAAACAAAAACATTACCATAAAAATTAATTCATTTAGCAATGAGATTATATTCATTGCAATAAATACTAGGTATATATATGTAAATCAAACTTAGTAACTGCTCTTCATACATTTAAAAAAAAATTATAAGATTACATTTTACAGAATAATTGTTGATTCGCAGAAATAACCTGAAGTAGAGTGTGATAAAATTACCTGTCTCTGCAGCCAATAACAGAACTGTTTTACCATTTTCATCTTTTATTTTTGCTGTTTCTGAGGTCAGTAGAGTCTTAAATCAAAATAAGCTCAGCAATAAATAACAAAATAAAGCTAATTGTAAAGCTGAAAAATTCATTTGAAATACAAGTATGTGTTGTTCAACCATCACTTCATCATTTAAAAAAAAAAAAAAAAAAAAAAAAAAAAAAAATCTTTATTTAAGAAAACATTCTCAGATTGCATAAAATCATGCATTCTGCTTTATTACTAGACCCAAGGAAAGGTTTTATTTTAATTAAAAGACACACAAATGAACATTTAATAAGTTAAGTGTTTTTTTTTCACCTGTAAGCACTCCAGTGGTTCTGTTCTTCTGACAGACCAATGCATCCATGTCCTCCCATTCAGATCTCTCTCGATACCATCAGCCTCATCCACCGTGAAGTTTGGGGAGCTACTCAACAGTTCAAAATGTTTGATGTGATCTAGCCGACATGCCCACATACAAGGTGTAATGCCATCTTTGTCACGGATGTTAACATCGGCATTGTGCTGAATTAAGTACTGTTATAAAAGAGAAAATTTGTGCTTATCTTGTACTCAGTACCTTATTGACAAATAATGAAAGCAGTTAGACAATGCTGATATTACTGACAATGGATCAATTACCTCCTAATTAAAGCAATTACTATCTCACACTTAATTCTATTTTCTATCAGTCATGATAAGTGATAATTAGCCTTCTGATATATCTACAGATGTGAGTATGTTAGTGTGTAGGTTATACCTGTATTTTACAATGTTTTAGTATATTGTTGGTATCCCTGCCCATCTTCACAATTCTCCATAAATTTTAATAATTGTTTTAACCATTCTTTTTTTGTATGTTTTGCCATTTACTATAAGTGTTCACAACATTTTTGCCCCAGGAGTCCCTAGAAAAGGTGTGATTTAAACCTTGAAATTGAATCATTATAACTGTGACTCCGGAAAGGAGTTTTTGGTTGGAGAATGACAAAATATCTTCCTGGATAATGAAAATGAGCTGAAGTTACCTTTCAAAACATTTATAAATCTATGAACATCTTGTTCGCCTTAGCTACCACATACCTTTAAACACTCTGTGGATTTCGTTGTCACTGCCCAGTGTATGGGTGCTCTCCCATGACTATCTTGTATTGTAAAATCTCCACCATACTGTAGCAACAAACTGAGAGCCACATGGTTAGCATCATGGCAGGCCTGGTGAAGTGCAGTGGATCCATCTGAAAAAAAGTCCTACCTTGATCATTTCTAAATAATTTATATCTAATTGTCTGTAAAACCTCCCAACAAATTGGGTAATACTAGAGATATTAAGTATAAATAAAGATGTTATTTCATTGTGCATAAATTGGTTCCTTTCAATAAAATATCTTAGGTAATTTTTGGTCAGAGTAGATCTTTATCACTTAGTAAATTTTTAAGTAATTGATCTATAAAATATTATGAATGACTATGGTGTTTTAACCAATAAAAGTAATAAATAAAGCTTTCATTTGGTTCACTTCCATACTTTTTTGGCAAAGAGCCAATAAGATACTATTTGTACATTCATAAGGGCAATATCCTGCAAATGACCAATCAAGCATGTTCTTCGTAGATAATGATTATCTAAAAACTTCAATTATTATTATCAATCATTCTGATTCAGTATATATATATATATATATATATACCATGGCCTGTGATGTTAACATCTGCCTGATTTTCCAAGAGATAGTTAAGCATTTCATTTTGATGAAAATGTACAGCATAAGACAAAGCTGTTCTTCCTATTCCATCTTGTTCATCAATGCAATGAGGATCTGAGAAAATGTAAATTTTAAACTTAAAACAAAAGAACACATATAATTATACTTATCAACTTACTTATTATTACCTTTCAAAGCATTAAATTTATCATTAAACATATTTACACAAAGATAATTTGTCTTTCATTGAATTCTAATTGGACAGTATACTCTGTTTAAAACATGAAAAAAGTATGTTTAATACAAGTTATTTTTTTTTATACCACAGCAATGTCAATAGATAATTAATATACCTCCTTGAACAAGCTCCATTAGCAAGTCCGAGTCTTTCTGTTTCACTGCTTGCATTATTGGAGGCAATGTAGTTATATTCATGCTTTCATCTGTCATTATTCCCTGTAAGTTTTTCAGGTTGTCTAAGTTCACCCATTTCCACTGAAATTTGTCAGGGGCATCAACAAAAGGAGTCATTGGACTAAAGCCCCTAGCTGAGAGCGATAATGTTTTTTCTGCATTCTTTTCATGAGACCTGGTCTGCAGCATTCGATAGTACTTCTGCATATGTAGAAGGGCCAAATTCAAGGTGTCCCTTAGCTCAGATCCTTCTGCGTCTTCATTGAGTTTCAACAGAAACTCATTAATGAATGCAGCGGCTTTTTGGAAATCTTAAAATAAATACATCATTTGTTGAGGACAACAATGCTTATTCCCACTGTCGCATTAAAATGGAATGTTCTTAAACATTTTATTTGATACAATTTCAATGCAATGTACACCAACCTCTAAAATGAAGCGTTTAAATAATTATAAAAATAGCATCAATAATGAATTTTACATTTCTCATAATAGTGTTTTTATCAGTGCAATGTATTAAATTATGTTCAATTTTTTCTGAAATTTTATATCGTTAACTATTTACATTTGTTTACAAGATTGGACGTGAGTTGCGATCCTGAGTGCTTACCTTTCCGTTTGATACCCATGCTGTTAAGGCTATGAAAAGTCACCGAAACCCTAGATATTGATATAAAATATAAACCTAGGAGGACTGCGATACATCGCATGAACCCATGAAGGGTTTATTGACCTCCATCACATTTATGATCCCATGCTAGGTGCCCTCGGCAGCCATTTGTTATTTTCCCATGATGCATTGGTTGCGGAAGACCGTTCACTCTGTTATAAAATGTAGAAATTGTGCGTTGTTACTTGAATTAAATGTAAGCATACGTCTATTGATATAATAAACATACAATATAACATTTATAAGTTTTATCATAGCTTGTTCAAACACTTTAAAGTAGAAGTAAACATAAATGCACTATATTCTTTTATGTCCCTATGTTGCTATGTAATCTTCCGCCTTCGAAACGGCGGGAGACATGTAAGACGTGCAAGAAGTATTCGGACACTTTCGCCATTCTTGATCACATCAATTAATATAGATCTTCACATTCTCTTACCTGCTTTTACCAGTAAATACACAGCTTTACACAGCTTCATTGGATGCTTGGTACCTTGTAAAAAATATTTATATCGATGTTTAAAAAAAAGAAGGAAAAAAAAGAAAAAGAAATATAACCTTAATTTACAATATTTAGTCTGAGAAGACTTAATCTATTCCTATGTGCATTTTCGGTGCATAAAACCCGCCAACATCTCCCCCAATATTTAGAAAAATAAAATAAAATAAAATAAAATAAAATAAAATAAAATAAAATAAAATAAAATAAAATAAAATAAAATAAAATAAAATAAAATAAAATAAAATAAAATAAAATAAAATAAAATAAAATAAAATCAATCAATCAATCAATCAATCTTGGAAAAAAATTAAAGAAATATTTTGAACGTTTTACCAAGATATAACCAACCTGTCTCTGGTTGAACAATTTAAAAGCAGCTTAAAAAGTAAAGAGTGAGTTTTTTCACATTGAGACAACATGTACATACTTTATTTCTTTTAAAATACTTCAAGAACTGATACACACCTATGTACATTTTCTTTATCATATCGACGACCCCCCTCTCTCGATTAGTATATCTTGCACGAATAGAACATGATCGACTTATCTAACAAACATCCTTCGTTACGTCCGCCATTTTCTTTCTTGTTTTGATTAGTGGGGGGAACCTGAATAAATCCGCCATCATCTGGTTTATTTGAGCTCAAAGTAGACGATTCGGATATTGAGATTGCAGTTCAGGCATTCTTGTTATGGCAGACACAGATAAACTTAATATAGACAGTATTATAGCTAGGTTATTGGAAGGTAAGTTTGTTGTTAGATATGTCAAACAATCCCCTATATGTCTTTTCGGCTAAAAAGTTTAAAGCGAAGGCTTCTTGTAAGTCAGATGGGAAATTGATAAACAAATTAAAATTCATATATCATATTTAAATCTAGCAATGCTTATTATCTTTACACATTATGAAATTGCGCATTTTTGCTTTACGATGACAGCTATATGTTTAGAGATCAGAGATAAACTACTTAGGTCAAGGGTATAGTTTTTGTAAACAATTGGTAAATGTTTAAGCATTCATTAAAATAGTTCTTATAATTTGATTTTGCTGGTTACTAATATCAAGTATTTATCGTTATTATTAATTTGAGTTGATGACAATCCAAAATCCAATCGGTCATTAACAGACATAAGATTATCAGGTCCAGCACAATCTCTTGATTTAGCTATATAGCTTGAAAAAGCTATATAGCTTTATTAAGCTATTCAAAATAGCTTGATAAAGCTATTTATGTGCAGTTTTTCAGAAAAAAAAATTTGTAAGAAAAAGACAAAAAGTCGCAAGTATTAGACTATTCATATATGTACTGTGGGATATCAAAACAACAACTGAAATCAAAGATAGTTCTAACATTGCAGCATTTGAGTTCTTTTAAGCAAAAGATGAATTTCCATTGTTTGAGTAACTGTACACTACTTTGTGTGCGTTGAGGCATGGATAAGTATGATTGCTTCTCATTGTACTGAATTATTACCAATCCATTATCTTGTTGACCATAATTGGCCTCTTTTATAATTTCAATGAAGAAGTAACTGTATCAATTGCTTTATATAGCCCCAAAACTTTTAGAACTTTGAGTACAAAGTCTATTAAGGAGACGCAATTTGATGAGTGATTTTTACATGCTTTATTTCCAGAAGAGTTCAAGGTTGAATATTATCACTGCACCAAGGTGCGACTTTTTGTGCATGCTGAGAAAATAAAACATTTAAGAAAAAAGTGTGATAAAATAGCTAAATTAAGCTATTCTGAATAGCTTAATAAAGCTATATAGCTAAATCAAGCTATATAGCTAAATCAAGAGATTGTGCCGGACCTGATTATTTTCAGTTGCAGTGCATGCGTTATCTACATGTACTCTTGACCAAAACATTGGTACTATAGTGCAGGTTATCATCAAATATAAATGTTGAAAGAGTCATGACCTGTGTATTAAATGTCTATTTATTGTTTCTGTCAGTTATGGTATAAATATTTTTTTATAATATTTAGGTATTCGATTGGTGGTACATTGGACTTTGAAACACAATTTCATTCACTAACATTAAGCTATTTTATGATTTTTATCTCTTTAGTTAGGGGATCAAGGCCAGGAAAGAATGTTCAGCTGACAGAGTCAGAAATCCGTGGTCTTTGCTTGAAGTCACGGGAGATATTTCTAAGCCAGCCTATTTTGCTGGAGTTGGAAGCACCACTGAAAATTTGTGGTAAGTTAAGATTTTTATGAAGCAATTTACACACATAGTTGTGAGAGGTGAATTTTTGATGGTACCCACTTTTTGGATTCTCTCTCTGTTTCAATCAAATCTAGTCTCACACCAAGGGTTTTTCCTTTTGAGTTAATGCAAATCAGATTCTTATGAATATTTTCTAAAGCAGGGCTAAAATTCATGCTTTTTGGTACAGGGTCCTGTACCCCTTCATCTGGGAATGTAAACTAAAAACAGTGGCGAAATTTGGAGATATTAAGGTTTACTGTTGAATAAAGAATTATAGATTAAAGGCCTATTCCCTATTCACAATTTTATGAATCATTTAAGTCTGAAAATTCATTTTTTTAATGTAAATCCACTGAAAAATTCAATGTGCATATCATTTGGGAATTTTTACCTTAATTTTGGGAAAAAGGGTAAAATTTTAATTGGGACAGCATTCTTTTACTGAACCTGGATGCATGGGTTAATAAGCCCTATAAAGCAAGATATATAGAGGAGATTACAACTTACAAGCCTCTTTAAAGTATGGAACTTTTTTTCATCTTAACAGCTTTGATAAAATAATATATTTTTTTTTGCTGTATTTCTATTTGTTTGGTTTTTTTTTACAGGAGATATCCATGGTCAGTATTATGACCTGCTACGTCTGTTTGAGTATGGTGGATTCCCCCCAGAAAGTAACTACCTGTTCCTAGGGGATTATGTCGACAGAGGGAAACAGTCCCTGGAAACAATATGTCTACTCTTGGCCTACAAAATCAAATACCCAGAAAACTTCTTCCTTCTCAGGGGCAATCATGAATGTGCAAGCATAAACAGAATCTATGGGTTTTATGATGAATGTATGTTTTATTTAATTTATTTCATTTTTTTCATTATCTTTTTATAAGAAATTTTAATTGGTGTATTGTGGAATGATTTCAACTCATGGGTTCAATGTTCATTGACACCCAAAATTTGACTGGTTTGTGGGGACATAATTTTGTGGGTAGATAGTATGTATGTATTGTGGGGATATGGATTCATGGGTAAAGGTGACCCCTTGAACATTGGTCCTCCATGAATAATGTGGTACTGTAAAATAAAGAAGTTAGATTGCAGGCTTATCCTCTATTCACATCTTCATGAACTATTATAATCTAAACTCTGGTAAAAAAGCTGAAAACTTTGACCTGCTTGTCTTTTGGAATTTTTACATGGTGTTTTTTTTTTTTTTTTTAAAAAAAAAAAAAGAAGGAGTCAATTTTCAATTGGGACAGTGTCTTTTTACTGGACTTATATGCAATGGGTATTAAACCAAATATCATGTACTGGAATGAGGGCAAAATAATGGTCTATTGCAAAATGTAAGAGAAACATTTTAAATTAAGTGCACTTGGAACATGAGCTAAAATACAAGAGTATTTTACAGTGATCCTAGACCAAGGCAAAAACACTGGCATTCATTGAAAATCTAGGTAGAAAAACATCATCTTATTGAATCATTTGTAGATTTTGTAAGAAAACGGCAATAAAATGATTTTCGTATTATGTTTGCAACAGATTTTTTTCTCCTAATAATGTCAAGAGCACACAAATTGATTTAATTAAGTGAAATGTTGGAGTGGTGTCTGTTGGACCACTTATTCTTGTTTCAATGTCGTTTGTACAATTAATGTTCATGAATTCTGATTGATTTTAGGTAAAAGACGATACAACATCAAGTTGTGGAAGACATTCACAGATTGCTTCAATTGTTTACCCATCGCAGCTATCATTGATGAAAAAATATTCTGTTGTCATGGAGGTTAGTGATAGGTGGTCGATAACTTTGCAAAGTTTAGTTCAACATTGGTCCATCTAACATCCAAATTATGATGGTATAATAAATTAAATAAGATCAGGAGTAAATGTATGCAAGTATATTTAAAGATAAGACCAATCACAATTCTGTCATTCTTTTGAAAAAGCATGTCTGGTACAATTTTTTCAGATCTAGTTTTAAGATTTTAATGACTTGCACATTCACCTACAGGTTTAAGTCCAGACTTGCAGTCTATGGAACAGATCCGACGAATCATGAGACCAACAGATGTTCCCGACCAAGGTCTTCTGTGCGATTTGTTATGGTCTGACCCTGATAAAGAGACAATGGGATGGGGAGAAAATGACAGAGGAGTGTCTTTCACATTTGGAGCAGAAGTTGTTGCCAAATTCTTACACAAACATGACCTTGACCTTATTTGTAGAGCTCATCAGGTATGCTTTTCATGTTTTTAATTTTATTTATTATTGCCTGATGTATACATGACAGAGTAGTGTGTGTTTTCAGAAGTGGTTGAAACTTGTGCTTACAGAAACTGGTATGAAGATGGAGACTTATGTTGTATAAGAGCTTTTGTGGAAACGTAAATATTTTGAATTTATGATATATATGTAGTTGACCTCTTGTCTTTTAATAGGTGGTAGAAGATGGATATGAATTCTTTGCAAAAAGACAGCTTGTCACACTTTTCTCTGCACCAAACTACTGTGGTGAATTTGACAATGCAGGTGCTATGATGAGTGTGGATGAGACACTCATGTGCTCTTTCCAGGTAATTGCCAATCCAAGTGGGAAGTCAATAGTGTTCAGTGATAAAGCAGTGTATAAAAACGTTTAAAGAAGTTCCAGTTTTAGTATTCAAGATATTTGCTTTTATGCGTAGTTAAGCTTTAATATTGTTTAAATCTTTGTAGATACTTAAACCTGCAGACAAAAAGAAATTTCCATATGGCGGACTAAATGCAGGCCGACCAGTCACCCCTCCGAGGGGCCAGGCCAAGGGCAAAGGGAAAATTTAGGGGATTGAGACCTCCAGCATCAAGTTTTTAGTGTAGCTCTGACATCACACAGAAATGTATACACCATATCACAGATTCATATGATTTCACCTTACTCATCTGACAGCAACATAACTTGGCTTATTTACATGGAACGGTTCAGTGAAACCGACACTGTGTTGTCATTATTGGTGAATACATTGTGATTTAAGCTCTGTCTTGGCAATCCAGACATAGGGGATTATTCATCTGTTTATACATTATACATGTGTTGTACAATTGAGGGTTAAAATTTCGCATAACTGTAGCTTTGTGTAGTGTAAAGTTTTGTAATATGTAGAGCTAGGAGCAAACCCTCAATAGAACATGATATAAGTTAATAATAGTCTGCCAGAAATGTTGACCTGGAAAGAGAGAACAGATGGTTGAATTTCAGTATATTTTATAGTGAGGGCTTGGGCTCTTCTGCTTTCTCACAGGTCCACATCTCTGCTGTGTCTTTTTGAACTGAGATCTTTGTGAAGTTGATGTTGTACTCAGTACATGTAGATAAAACTGTACACATTTGTAACTTTTATCCCGAATATAAATCATTATTTTATTCTATGTGTAAATAATTTTCTTCTCAATATTTATTGTATTAACTGCATGGTAATTTTACTGCATTCCTGGAATAACCTGTCTATATTATAAGCAAGTCCACAATGAAATCAAAGGTTAGCCAAATTACATGAAATGTAAGATTCACCCTGTATTAATTATGATGTCCTACAGTATAAGCAACATGTATGGATGTACTTTGCTGTTGAAAGAAAAATTTTTATTAGAATGATGGAAGAACAAATAAACGATGTTTTCTACTTTGGTTCTTTTACTTTTTACTTAGTTCGTAAAAAATGAAATTACAGTTGGCTTATGCAACCAGAGTGGTGCATGTATATTCTGTGATGGATGTTGAATGCATATATACCAAACTGAATGAATGTACCTTGGACTTAATTGTGAGAGTCATGTATGTCCTGGTGGTTTGTAAAGTATGAGACAGGCTCTCAACTGTCTATAATTGGGGCTGTTTCAAGGGCCCCATTCCCAATTCAAAGAGGTACCTTTTTTTCCTGGTGGAATGTGTTAATTTTCCGAATAGTCATTTCTCCAAAAAATAAACGAATATGAGGGTTGTTAGAAAAGTTCACAGACACATTGATCTATGGAAAATTTATTGTGTACTTTGAAAAATGATATATGTTTTCTAAAACATCTTGTGGTGTGTTGGATATTTGTAAGATCTTAAAATTAATGTCTATGCAGTTAAGCAATCATGTAGGGAAACAATGCAAAATCCATAAGAGCAAGGCAAAATCCATAAGTGCAACGTCTGTGCGATATGCGGTGTTTTGGGGAATCGCAGTTGATCATCAAAAATGTCAATCCTTCCATTCTTACATAGTCACTACCTTTTGAACACTTTGGTCCTAGGTACGTGTAGGCAATCCCCAGCATCATTTTAAAACATTTTAGTCTCTTTTTGGCATTTCCCTGTCTGCACACATAATAATCCCTGCAATTTAATTCAAATTTTTGCTAAATAATGTTCATGGATATTGTAGTGACAGGTGAATATTAATTTTAATGCACTACAACAGTGCAATTTTTAATTTCCAAAATTGTCTATGTAAAAGTGCGAAAAAGTGACATGCTCCGTAATTCAAATAATATAGCTGGACATTTTTTAGGGATCATTGGAAAACACCAAATCTTTGCATATTTATTGGAAAATACGTATAGTTTTTATCTGCAGTTTTTCTGGTTTCATACAAATAGCACGCTCACAATAGAACTTGTCCAGGAACTTTTCTAACAACCCTCATACACAGAGAAACTTGAGCTTAAGTGATGATGCAGTCAGGCCATAGAGACATTAACGATATAGGGCAGTGAGAGATTCAAGCACCGAGTGTATTTTTGCTGCTTTTAAACACGTAAAATATATGTAATGTTTTTTTAGTTTTTAAGTGAATTATTGGTGTGTAAATCACACAGACTTGCAAATAGGCATATTTTTCATGAAACACTAGCTTGACATGTCTATGTGATTTACACACCAATAACAAAAAACTTAACAACATTCCTCAATTGAATACTGTATACAGGGTTATTTTCGCCCTTTCACACTAGCAAACAATTTTGCCCCGTTTTAAATTTTCCCAGTTACAATTCTGTTTAAGAAATTATACTCTGTTTTTTGAATTTGCCCTGTTTTAAATTTGCTCTTAAAAGGAACTTTAATCGCAGCCTATCATATATATATATATATATATATATATATATATATATATATATATATATATAAACTGCTTCTAAACCCCTGTTTTTCTCAATGATTCAGAGCTTCCTTTCACAAAACACAAACTAGGTCAGAAAATTACATTTTTTAATGATTTAAGACAAGTAAAAAACAAAACATACATATAAGAAGCATTTTGTTGGACCTATACAAATTAAATTGATAATTTCATATGGGACGACACTTTAAGTTAAAATTAATAAAACATTGTAAAACACTCAAGATACATGTATTTACATGTACAATACCTTCTTAAGTACACATTATATCCAAATCAGATATTAAGATGTTGACCATCATGAAATGCTCAGTTTTTAGTCAATGTAAAGGTCATTTAAGGACTGTGTAGTTTGTTGGGTATGCCAGGGCATAAACGACAGTTGGAAACTTGGGATAAACTGCATTACGGGCTTCACCCGTTATGCAAATTATCCCACATTTCCAACTGTTGTTGATGTCCCTGGCATACCCAACAAACTACACAGTGATTCCTTATATTTACATTTCTTTGCAAAACAGAATTGTTAAAATAAATAAACAAGATGTGTTTGTGAAACACTGATGCCCCCATATGGCAACTTATAGGAAGGTTAAACTTTCTCAAATGCAAATCAAATATGCCAGTACCCAAAGTAAGGTCGTGTCCCAAGGAATATACCTGTGGAATATGAAAGCCCTAGCAGCAACCATTGAAAAGATATGGAAAAGGTTAAAGTTTTTCAAAAGTAAGTCAAACATCAAAGTCAAGGTCAAATGGTCAAAATTAATGGTGCCCAAGGAAAGGCCTTCTCACAAGAAATACACATGTGAAATATGAAAGCCCTAGCACCAACCATTCAAAAGATATGGCCAAGGTTAAAGTTTTTCAAAAGTAGGTCAAACTCGTAGGTCAAGGTCAAAGGGTCAAAGTTGTTGGTATCAAAAGGATGGTCTTGTCACAAGAATTACACATATGAAGTATGAAAGCCCTAGCACCAACTGTTCAAAAGTTAAGGTCAAGGTTAAAGTTTGGTAAAATTTTGTAAAACTGGGTCAAACTCCAAGGTCAAATATGATGGTACCCAAAGAAAGGTCTAATCACATGGAATACACATGTGAAATATTATAGCCATAGCTGCAACCAATCAAAAGTTATGGGCAATGTTACATTTTTGCGGACAAACAGACGGACTGACAGGGCAAAAACTATATACCCCTGAATCTTCGACATGGGGGCATAAAAAATGCTGTCTAATAGATTTAAAATACATGAGGCCTTCCATGTTAATTAGTCCCCTATCGGTGAGTCCGGAGGGGAATATAGGTTTCCTCTGAGTCTGTCCGTCCGTCTGTCTGTCCGTCTGTCTGTCTGTCCCTCTGTCTGTCTGTCAGTCTGTCCCACTTGGTTTTCCGCACTTTTTTCCTAAACGCTTGCAGATATTGAGCTGATTTTTGGTATGTGAGTGTATCTTGATGAGTTACAGATCAAGTTTGCATTTCGTTCCGCTTCATTGATTTTTGACGGAATTACGGCCTTTTCAATTTTTATGGGTTTTCCGCAATTTTCTTCTAAACGCTTGTAGATATTGAGCTGATTTTTGGTATGTGGCTTTACCTTGATTAGTTATAGATCAAGTTTGCATTTCGTCCCGTTTCATTAATTTTTGACGGAATTATGGCATTTTCAATTCTTACCGGAACCAGATTACACTTGCCGGTAGGGGACTAGTATTGCTAATGCAATACTCTCAGAATGCTTGTTTCAATAGTCTCTGCCCACTGACGTCAGACGCAAAGACAGCCGCACGAGATTGACATACATATCAAGGAATCAACTCAGCTAACTATTAAAGAGTTATCACAGAGAAAACAATTAGAAATGTAAATATTGTTTGGTAAATGCAGCCATCAGAGGGATCAATATCTGTACCACTGTGTTCTGATTTCAATTACAAAAAATTCATTATGTAGGACTAGTAATCTCTGTTTTGGCCATAACTTGAGAATCTTTCAATCACAAAATATTTAATAACATAACAATCTGCATTATGTACAACTCTGTCTGTACTTTAAAACAAATGAAAAATGTCCACAAAATCAAACAAAATACATTGATCAATATAATAACAAAAATACTTTTTACATGTATTACAACTTAAAAATTTGAATATACTTTATATGTTAGGAATCAACGTACAATCAAATTGTACCAATCACTTCAAAACAAATATAAAATACATGTAGCAGTTTATTGAGAAATAACAGGAATGTGAAGCCCACTTATCACAAGGGAAAATATACACTGCCATGTGGAATTGGCCAAGTTCCCACCTCTCTGCGCCTCCCTTCAAGATGTTTCTACAGCTGCCTGCTAACTGAGATCGGGGACTTGATGCACAATGAATGCTGGGATTGTAAATCACACAAGGAATTATGGGAAACTGTCATGTGGTGTCTATCCGTATCATCCTTAACTTGTAATTGTCTGCCAGCACACATGCTGCCTCGTTGGATCCACCACAGTAATGAGAAGAAGAGAACACAGTCATCAGTCTACCCTGCTGCTGAACCTTTTTCAGAAACAGAAATAAATGCTTATTAAACACTGGGTCCACCACAAAAATGTAATAAGGACATTGTGTTGTAACTGTACAATACAACTCGTAAGTTCATGTGTACAAAAATTAATGCATAGATCTTCCTCTGACTAACATAAGACGAATATGAACAAGGAATAAGTATTTACCCAAACTTAAATAAACATTTTACTAACTTTGATGTAAAAATTAAAATTGCGACTTAGATAGATGTAACAGAATGAATAAAACTGGTAATTACATTATCCATTTTATTTGGTACAAAGAATTTATATTATTACTTTGTGTACAGGAGCATCAACATTATTTTACTGAAATGTCCTCCTGTATATTTAAAAAAAAAACTTTGAAACCTTACATTCCAAACCAAATGAACAAACAAAATTTATATCATATGCAACAATACAGATCATTTTTAAAATTCATAATAATTACAAATTTTGTCAGCAGTTTTCTAACAGGGCAACACTGTACCCTGTACATATATGTGTAAAATAATCCTTGCATACCTGAAAGCCATTTTCCTGCACCTCATGAGCTCTTATAACATGAGACAAGCCATTTTTGTCCAAAAATGACATTAGAGCCTCACAGCTAAAGAAATATGCTGTTCCCCGCCTTGTGTTGTAAATAAATCCATTGTGCTCATTTAAATCCTTGATATTATCTGGAGTCATCAAATCCATGCTACAATGTACATGTACATGAAATATGAAATTGTTCTGCACTAAAAAATTTACACTTCAAATTATCAAAATTCAACTACAGCAAAATATGATTACCTGAAGTAAAACTCTGTGTACATATAGATGTCCATTATCTTAGACAAGATCTAACCCACTCTCTATCCCACTTACCTGACAGGGTCACTCCACATGATCTAATAGGTCCTCACCTGAAAGGGTCACTTCACATGATGTCTCAGGGCAGAGGATCTCAATCTCAACTCACCAGGCTTTGAATTCTCATTTTTAACTCACCAGACAGGGTCTTCCACACAATCTTCTATGCTAAGGATTCTCAATCTCAACTCACCTGACAGGGTCACTCCACATGAATCTTACAGGCCTGTGAACCCTATTCCACTCACTTGAATAGGTCATTCCACATGTTCTCCCAGCCAGTGGATTCTTACCTGACAGGGTCATTCCACATGATCTCCCAGCCAGTTGATTCTTACTCACCTGACAGGATCACTCCACATGATATCCCAGGCCAGTGGATTCTTACTCACCTAACAGTGTCACTCCAATGATCTCCCAGGCCAGTACAGTCTCACTCACCTGACTGGGTCACTCCACATGATCTCCCAGGCCAGGGGACTCTCTATTTCTGGATCCTTCAAAGGCACTGGAATCTTGTTTATGTTCTCAATATTAATGTCAGAACAGGGTATCCCTCCATGAACACAAAACACCTAGAGAAAACAGTAAGTCACCACTTAATGAACTATAATCATAGCTTACAACCAGAAATCCACTCTGAAAGCTGTAAATTTTCTTAAAATCTACCCAATGCTGATGACTAGGAAATGCACCAGTTGGTAAACATGGCAAATGATATACTGTAAGGGTTGAGGTTGGGGAAATTGATCAATACAATATGTACTGAAAATGTTTTAAAAAAATAAAAGAATAACAAAAATGTGGAGGAATGTGGAAATTTATAAATAAAACAAAAAAAAAATCTCTTTAAAAATGTGTACTTATGTAGTACAAAGTGAAAGATGAGGACTCTGCTCTGAATCTTTTACAGCAGGTAAGATAATTAATTTTAAAAACTTAATTTACATGTACATGTGATCATCCTCACTTTGTACATTGTAATAGCAAAGTTTTCATCAGACCTTCACCTATCTTTGCTAATTATTCTTGTAAAGCTAGAAATCTATCCCATTATCAAGTCCACATCCAGCTGACATACAAGACCAAAGGACAAGATAGGCTAAGACCCCTTTTTGGCCCCTGGTTTGGGGTGTCTTTTAGAATGTTGCAACAGTTTATCAATTAAAAACCTGTTGTCACCTCTGCCACAAAATGAGTATTGGTTCTAAGTTATGGGATACACAGAGGTCACAGGAAGGTCAGAAAATATGTCAATTTCCAAATTTTCTCATTTTTATGCAAATTTTTCTTGATTTAACAGCAGATTTTGGTTCAGAAAACAAAGAGCACAAGCTTGCCTATCTGCCAAATTTATATATTTCATACACAAGTATCAGAAGCATCTTATATATAAAAATCTCAGATAGGCAAGCTTGTGCTCTATGTTTCTTGAAGTGAAAAGTTTCTCAAATTTGATGGAATTCGACCAGAATTGAGGAAATTCGGGAAAATGTCCTACTTTTGCACCCTCTTGTGGCCTCCTTGTAAACTTTGAATCAAAATTAGTGCTGGTTTTAAAACAAGCATCATTTTAAGTTCTTAACTGCAAACTATCACAGTTTTAACTGTGTTCTGATTTTTACATCATATAAGGGGCCAGATTCAGCTGTTACCATACCTTGTCCTTTAGAATCAATATGTTTAATATGTTGCCAAAATTTGGAGCATTATATGACAATAACACACGCATATATATATATATATAAAGATATGGCTAGATACATGGACAGATAGAGTGGTAACTGCAGAATATGAAATATGTGTTCAATTACTAAGAATTTGAAACCCATTTCCAAAATATACTTTATCACAAAACTTAAATGTCTTAAGAATTAACCTTATCATCCACAGTAGCTGCTATTGGCATGGCATCAAAACAGTCATTGACTGCCTCCCAGACCTGAAGTCCCACTGACTCCCCAAACTTCTGTATACACTCACTGTAATAGAGAATATTTATACAATTATTGTAACCATGCGTATATACACTTGTAACCATGAGTAGATTTACATGTATACACTTGTGTAACAAAGAACAGATATAAACCCTCACTGTAACAAAGATAAGATTTATACACTTGTTGTAACCATGAGTAAATTTACATGTATACACTTGTGTAACAAAGAACAGATATATATACACTAGATACACTCACTGTAAGCAAAACAGATCTATACACTCACTGTAATTTACAATGTTGATACGACTTGCACCCACTCAATAATACAGAACTCATTTATACACTCAATACAGATTTATACACTCACTCTCAAACAAAACAGGACTAAACATTATGCCATATTTTAAGAGAAATATGACCTACATAGCTAGAACTCACTTTTTAAATGAGAACATTTCCTGTACAGATCTGAGTTCATGGTTTCCTCTCAAGAGATAAAATTTGTTCTGTGCAAGCATCTTTTGGGCAAACAAATAGGAAATTACCTAGGTAAAATAAAAGATGTCAGTGGTTATTACACAGAATTTTTGCTGTTATTATAAAGAAAACCAAGAGTTCTAGATATTGCCTTTAACATCATATCTTTCACCTTTGACCAATACCTGAATCTGACTTTTCCCCCCCTATCAGGGCTATCAAAAGATTAGAAACAGACAGCACTTTTACAAAAATAGGAGGTATTGTTGAAGCAATTTTAATTAAATATGTTATCAAATTTTTCTCCATCAAATATTTTGGCTGGTACAATCATGATTTCAGCTGGGTAAAAGTACTGGGTATTGGCAGATTTTGAAAGGCCTGCCCTATTAAAACTAATAACTATTAAATGAGACTATAAATGATGTTGATTACTGCATCTGACAGGTTTATCTCTAACCTCTACTCCATATTCCCCTCGATCCACGTAGTCCCCCAAAAACAAGAAAGAGGCTGGTGTTAACAATGGTCCCATCCTCCATAATGCTTTCTCAAAACACACCAAATCCCTGTAGTTCCCATGGATATCTCCTATAAACACAAGTATATGACATTTTAAATCTGCCTTCATTGTAATCTGGGAAATATGATGCAAATTAAGATTTATTCAAAAAAAAAAAAAAAGAAAAAAATTCATCTAGGCTATAAAAAAAGAAAAAAAGAAAGACAAATACGGTTTATAATCAGACACAGTTTATATCAGATGGATAAAATATTTATGGAAACCTTTCATTACATTCATCATATTATTTGTGTTAATGACTTGTTGCAAAACATAAATATTACTGTAAATATAGAAGTAAATTTTACCAAGAATGTAGACCGGAGATTTAAGCTTTACTAATCGTGGTTCCAGACACAGTGAGTCCTTCAGTTCACGACACAAGGTCAGCAGACATTTAGCGAGAGCATTGGTGTCCACCTGTCCCCAGTCAAATCCAGGCTGCACAAAAAACAAGACCAATCAATTTTATGTTTATGTACAAGAAAGATTACTTTTGAAATGTGTATCTAAAGGGACAGTAAACAAGTTGATTATTATCTATTTATCACAACCTTTGCTGGCCCTCCATTATCTCCCTTGATCGCTCTCTCAAAATACCTCAGACCAGTCAACATTTCATTAGGGTGAGATCTCTGTTAAATAAATAGGCATATAAAGTATATGTAAATCATTCATTCATGAAATTTTTTTTTCTTCAGAACAGTATAGGACTTTATGTTGCTGACTTAGAAGTTGCCTTAACAATGCTGTATAGGACTTTATATTGCTGACTTAGAAGTTGTCTTAGTAATCTCATATAGGACTTTATGTTGCTGACTTAGAAGTTGCCTTAACAATCTCGTATAGGACTTTATGTTGCTGACTTAGAAGTTGGCTTAACAGTCTCTTTTGCACATTTTGCTTTAAGGTTTACTTTCCAAATTCATCTCCATTTTGAAATACACTTACTGCATTAAATGAGTCTATTGAAGGCATCCTCTGAAATCGTGAAATGTCTCCCTCTAGATGACAAGCTGCACTCTCAGTCACAGCTGGGGTTCCTGAAGAAGAAACACACATCAGAAAAAAATACAGTACTATTTTTTCAACTCACAGAATAATTCTGACTATGCATTATACCTTGTAAATCCCAGAGTTTGATGACATCTGATAAGACCCCTGTCCGTCGTACTTTGACTGTGTGTGTGGCAAGTTCATATCTGATCTGGTGGTGGAATCTCCCTGCAGATAATGGACGACCTTCAGGAAGCTTGAACACTTCCATTTCTGTATCTGTCAAAACATATTGATATAGACTAATCCGTTTAATAACAAAAGTTTACAACTCCTGTATGCATGTACATGATTGTTAACTCCAAGACTTCATGAAATCTTCAAGTTAGTAAAAAAAACATTTTGCTTTATAAGTAATTTTTAAAACTTCTTATAGTTTCAAGACTAGAAAAACATGTGCAGAGAAAACATATTTATCATGTTCTAACCATGCATGATTTTGCATAGATTATATAGGTAAACTACTGTGTGTCCCTATTTACTCAGATGTGTCCCTATCTCTAATAATGGATGGACAACTTCATTGCTGATGGGAAGGGTTGAAGATTAAATCTGAGTCTATATATATACAAGCAACACCGTATATTTTTGAGAGAAAAAAAGCCAATAAGTGGAATTACTATGGTGATTGATTTTTTTTTCTTTAAGTGTTTGGAAAGCTCAATGCCCAATATAACACTCTGTCTTTGATCCTTAGCTCTCAGAAACACCACTTCTCAAAGCATAAATTATCTCCAGAATAGCAAGAGTTCTCTCAAACAGTACTAAAAGAAGACAGTGGAAATTGTTTTTTTAGTTTTCTAGTCACTTGTTTTTAAACTGAGATTTACCTGTAGCATTTAATTTTCTTGGTGGGGATGATTTGACAGAATCCAGAAGTTTGGGACGACATCTTTTTAAAGGTGGTTCCATTGTCTCCCCAGTGTGATTTAAATGGTTCTCATTCCTACAATGATGTACTAAGATCAGTATCACTCTAAACTCCTTTGATGAAATCAAACACTAGTATATTGCATGAAATAAACTTAAACTCTGTAGATATCACATGGTACACCTTGTTACTTAATAGAGCAGAACTCTTTTTTTTATTTAGACACAACACTCATCCAGTAAGAGCTGAACAGGAATGACACCCTTAGTATACTGAACACATGTCCTTCAAAATTTTAGCTATATTCTCAACTTTAACAATTACAATATATCACCTATCATTCATGTGTAGGGTAAAAGTCATTCCATAGAATTTCATTTATATACATCCCCCACCCCTCTCCTATACTCGCTTTTAGCTCACCTGAGCTGAAGGCTCAAGTGAACTTTTCTGAAATTTGTCAGTTCTCTGCTGTTCTAGTTGTCATTGTCATTATTGTAAACTTTTTACAATTTCATCTTCTCCAGATCCACTGGGCCAATTTCAATCAAACTTGGCACAGAGTATTCTTGGGTGAAGGGGACTGGGGTTTGTTCAAATGAAGGGCAACACTGTCTTCCAGGGGGAGATAATGGAGAAATAATGAAAATCAGATGGGGTAATTTAAAAATCATCTTCTACAGATTTTATTCTACAGATTAAGTCAGTGTCACAGTCACACTTGACTGAAGTTATCTGAACTGTAGATCTACATTACTCATCCTTTAAGTCCTGTCAAACATGACTAGGGTAATCTGAATTATAGTACAATACTCACCCTTTAAGTCCTGTCACACAGTCACACAGGACTGGGGTAATCTGAATAGTACAATACTCACCCTTTAAGTCCTGTCACACAGGACTGGGGTAATCTGAATAGTACAATACTCACCCTTTAAGTCCTGTCACACAGTCACACAGGACTGGGGTAATCTGAATAGTACAATACTCACCCTTTAAGTCCTGTCACACAGGACTGGGGTAATCTGAATAATACAGATGTTCCTCTGAATTTTAGTTGTCCTACAGCTGTCAAAAATTCTCCTAGAGGGAGCTTGTTCTTCGTTTCATTTCCAAACAACCTATACATAGACAGATTTCACATCGCCATCATTAGAGTCAAGTTTGGGCAATTTCAACTGCATTTTTTAAATGAGATATTATGGGCACACATTGAAACACTCACTTGGCACTTTTCTGAGCATCTTCATTAACTGCTTCTTCATCCAGAGATAATCCTTTGATTTTACGTATGTCTCTAACCATACATCTTAGAAAAATAGAGGGTAACTACCTTAAACCATTTTCTATCTACAGTATATTATTTAGAGATTAGCTATGTTAAACAATTTAGAAAATAGTTAGGGCTATTCCAGGAAAAATTGTATGGGGGGGTTGGAAGGCACTTTTATTTTTACCCCACCACCCATACATTTTTAATTACCTTCTACCCCACCCCCCATCAATTTAAAATTGCTTTTGATACAACCACCCATCTAAATTTAAAAAAAAAAAAATTGTGTCACACATATATATGCAATAAAATTTTATGTACTTTTTTCAGGTATTGTAATTTATCTGACTTCGAATGAGTGTTGGGTTTTGACATCTATCCAACCAGGGCCTGTTTTACAAAAGAACTTATGACTAAGATCAAAATGTTATTATGCAAATAAATTTCTTTTTTGCATTACTTTAAAAATGTTTTAAATCTTTTTGAAAAAAAATAAGATGGTTTTATGCGAACAATTTTTAACAGAAACATAAGTTTTGTAAGATTTTATGAACAGCTAAAGTTTTTAGTCTTAGTAATAAGTTTTTTTGTAAAACAGTTCCCCATGTTCCTGCTACAGCTTAAAAAAATATGTTCCTTTAAGCCTATGATACACACCACTGAAAGCCTTTATTATAGTGATTTGTATATCTGTTCTGATGCACGACTTTGTAGTCTGTAAAGCTTAGGTAAAGCTTTTACAAGTATGTATACACATGTACTAGTAGAAATGACATTCTTACAATTAATTAAAATTAATATTGTAAATTATATCCTAGCTATCCTTAACAATTGTTGTTCACCTTGTTCATAACAAAATGATTCCTGCTTTTTTTTTTTTTTGGTGGTGGTGGTGGTGGGGGGGGGGGGGGGGGGGAGGGGGACTAAATTTCTGACTTCTGTAGGCAGTGTCTGTGAAGTGAAAACTTTGATTAAAAAAATATACTTAATGAATTCTAAATCCCATCTAACAACTTAGACCATTGGTGCATACAAGTTCAACAAGTTAACACTTAACAGGTTAACATGGTTAAGGACTGGCATGTTTTTGACATATAAATATATTTCATATTGTTTTCAAACTCATATCTCATCTTCCTTTTACTCTGTATGTGGTATAAAGTAAAATATTTGACTTGCAAACTCCGTAGTCATGCTCTAAAACGTTCATTATCAGATACGTTTTTTCTACTTTCGGTTTAAAAATAAAACGATCTTTCTGATTGTTTCTAATATAATTTAATTTACCAATGTAATCATGTTTGATTAAACTGGTGAAAAGAAACTGGATCAGGGAGTCCAAAGCACAACTAATCCGTTTTCCAATCCCCAACTGTCATTGCAGTCACAGTTGCACATGCTTTTATAGTTATCTGCCCTTGTTTCCGTTTTGTTCGATTCTACTTTCACTTTCAATGTAAACAACACTTTACAACTGTTTAGGACGAAAATATCAGTATTTACCGATTTATACAAAATGAGAGGAAAGAAGTACTTTGCACTTGATTATTTGTGAGGGTAAATACAACCACCCATCTAAAAATATATCGAGTGAGGACAACCACCCATACAAATTTAATTGCTCCAGACCCACTACCCATACAAAAATATATGAAGTGCCGTCCAACCCTCCCGTACATTTTTTCCTGGAATAGCCCTTATGTTAAACAATTTAGAGATTAGCCATTTCAATTTTCATTATATTTCATGTAAAGTATATATTTTTAGTGAACTTTGATAAGGTACATGTAGGAAAACATATGTACACAAGTTTGCTAGACCAGATATACAGATATACACCAGGTATCTCCAATGAGACTGATGCTCAACTGGATTGTACTTATCATAGCGAAAACAAAGGCAACAATTGGACTGAAGATGCATTTTTTTTTTTACAGAATCATGTGGTCTAATGTTTTTTGAATTTGTACAGAACTTTATTAAAATCCAAACTAAACTAGAAGAGGGGGCGTGCTTTAAAATATTAGATAAGTCCATCATTTACAATAAATTTTCATATTTTATTCCTGATTTACAATGCCAACACTTTCTACAATCAGTAAAAATTTCATAGATATACATGTACATGTGTGTGCACCTTGATGAAGTCTATTGAAAAATGTTTTGTTCAAATTAAAAGAAATGAAAAAGAAATACAAGGGAAGAAACATTATGAAATTATTAAACACATTAACTTTTCTTTTATTAAAAAAAACAAGGCAAATTCATTCATTGATATTTTAAAAATCAACAGAATTTCCATTCTCATCTTAATATTGTCTACTTATGCCCCATTTTTTCCAAATTATTTGAACGACCATAATGACTATCAAGCAAAGGCTTTTCAAGATATTGGTTGGAATTTATTGGTCTACCAACCAGCCCTCAAACCAACTTTTGGAAAGCCACAATTCTTGAGACTTTGAAACCAATTTAGAAAATCATCAACATACTTAAATTCCTCAAATTGCAGGAAACCATCTACGTTGTGATCATAAAACCTGAAGATATATCGACATCTCATTTCTGCTGGCATTCCACCATGTTGTGTAGAGGGTTCGAGGGCTGCCAGGCCAACTAGGACATCTTTAAACTGTAGAATCCTCTTCTTATGCATATCAAAAGACCTAAAATTAGCAATGAATTCTTAATGTTGTATCAAACATTGAAAAATTAACAGCTTGTCATGAAAGCAAAGTTAAACAATATTAAAAGAAGAAATTGTTTATTCTTGAAATTATATATAACTAAATGTATTGCAAAACATTATATAATATACTCCAAGTCATTTTTGTATTCATAGTTAAAAGGATTTAGAGCATCAAGTCTTGTGAATAAACAGTTTATATTGATAACTGATTTTTTTTTTTTTTTACCTAAACAGGGCATATTCCTCTTATTCCCTAGAGCACAATGAATTACCTAAACAGGACACCTTCTTGGTCCCCATTTGCCTCTACACAGGGCATATACTTGATCCTCTTTTGCCCCTAAACAGGGCATCTACTTAATCCTCAATTGCCCCATAGTGTATGATTCTTACTTAAACAGAGTATCTAACTGATCCTCTTTCGCCCCTAAAGAGGGCGTTTACTTGATCCTTTTTTTGCCCCATTGTGTACAATGAATTAATGTATTGTTTTTTACCTAAACAGGGCATCCACTTGCTCTTCTTTTGCCCCTTTGTGTACAATGTACTCCTTGAATACAGTTTTGTTCATCATAGAACACGGTAGACACCAATCCATAAACTCTTGATACAGAAGGTCTTGCTCTTCAAAAAAAAAAAAAAAAAGAAAAAAAAAAGGAATTATTTTGACATTTCAACATACTTCACCTACTCCAGTAAATCATGGAGAGTTTTTCATCAGAAGTGATCATTAGGGAATTTTGAGGTGTTAATTTTCACTGGGCTTCTTGCCAAGTTTTTATAAATTTCTTTTTGACTCATATTACAAACCTTTCTTGCCGAGTTTGGCCGACTTGACCACAGCCTCCTGAGCAGAAAGCTGTGACGTATCCTCTTTATCTGTGTCAATGTATTCTGCTCTCATTTCACTTAATACGTTCATTGTCAAAGATGCTGAAAAAAAAATTAAAAGGGGAAATATTTTACCCATGTTATATCATCATACTACACTGACTTAATCATAGATTGTGTTTGCTGACAAGGTCATTGTTTCGGCCATAGAACTTTAAACAAGACTGTTGATATCCTTGTTTCATCAACTAAACAAGATCTCCCTGGTATCTGGTATAACTAACCATTATTGAGGTGTTAAGCCTATTGAAGATAGGTATAACTAACCATTATTGAGGTGTTAAGCCTATTGAGGATAGGTATAACTAACCATTATTGATGTGTTAAGCCTACTGATGATAGGTTTAACTAACCATTATTGAGGTGTTTAGCCAGATTGATTGGCTCCAGTCCTAGGAGTCCTGGATCTGCATGAGTCTGTTGTTCCATCTCTTCCACATTACACCAGACAGCATCATCACAACACTACATCAAAATCAAAGCTAGTAACGTGATCTCCTCCACAGTATACAAAAGGTGTCAACAAAAACCTGTAGCTTCTTTAGAAAATGTTTTTCAGATCCTTTAAAAATTTTTCTATAACTGCTTCTGATGATGACCATCTCTGGTCGAAACCAGTCAACAAAATAAATCTACTGCCGCATTCTCACAAAGTGTTTGTGATATATTTTGTCTTTAAATTTATATTATCTATGCAAATAATGCATTTTATATCAGAAAAAAATACAAACTTTATTCTTAAATGTTTCTTCATCCTCATGACTATGATAACTAATAATTCTGTAATCATTAATTTGTTTATTTTAATTTTAAAAGAGTATTGATATTTGCTCCTCTTTAAGAATGTACCTTATTTTTTTTTTTTAATATGCTATTAATTTTCACTTTGATCATGGTGATCATGGGAGGAGATTTATGTAGATACAAAGTTTAGGGCCACAGGTTTTTAGATGCTTTGTTTACCGTGTCGCAGTCCTCTACAGGCTGAGTCAGGAAAACAATGTGTGTGGCAGTGGGACTGGAGGTGAAATGGTAGAAAATCATCTTGATGATCCCTTTACATGGAGCTAGCTCCTGGCCAGTGACCTAACAATAAGGATATTGCAACAACTAAAATACACATATAGGATTCTACAATGATCAAACATTTGGCAACTCCATCTTTAACATTCAAAAACATTAGCTATGTCTTGAATGATCTCAGGTTAATTTAGGGATGCACAATTTCATCGGTATACCGGTACATCATGATTTTTTTTATTGCATGACACATATTGGAATAAGGGGCCCATTTTACAAAAGAAATTATGACTAAGACCAAAAAATTTAGTTGAATGTAAAATTTTGTAAGAGTGATGATTCTGTTTGAAATTGCTAGCATAAAAATATACTGTTAGGTTCTTTTTAAAAAGATTATAACTGTTTTCAAATAATTGTAAAATAGGAAGTAATAAGCAGAATTAAATTTTGGTCCTAGTCGTAAGTTCTTTTGTAAAACGGGCCCAAGGAGACTAAAATACCAGTCTTAGCATCCAAACATGCTTTATAAATAATAAAAATAAAACAAGAGGCCCAAGGGCCTTAATGGTCACCTGAGTATAATGTAATAATCCATAGATTAAAACAAAATAAGCTGATAAATAAAGCTACACTGTATGTACATAAATTGATGTATTTAAAATTAAGCGCAATCACTGGGTATGGAGTTGTTTGGGTAATCATGAATTAACGCTACATACACTCGTGCTGTGTATTACATTATTAATGAATTCTTAGCGGTATTCATGAATTAGTGCATCACTGTCCTTGCCACAGCCGTTACAATACGTAGCCTGCTTTACATGTAGTAAGTACACATAAGTATGTTGCCCAAAAGCAAGAGAAATACGATGATCAGAGATCAGCAAAATATTAATTTAGTACTCTTAAAGTTTATCTATTCATTTGCCTGTACTTTCCCCCATATGCGGACTAAACAAAGCAATAGAGTACTATTAGTTAATATTTTCCATTCCCCCTTGCATTGGCCTCTCTTAGTCTTTGAAAATTATTTGTTGTACAAAGATACAGTATTTTTTCCCCATTTTCATTTATCTACTATTTAAAAGTTTACTTGACCATTTAAAACTCTGAAAGTACTTTTGTATTGTGATATTTCAGATTTTAAAGTACCGGTAATATATAAATTTGCTGCCACAAATTGTAACATGTTTGTTTGTGCATGTAGATGTAAGTAGTTGGTAGTTGGCATGTAGATGAAGTAGTAGAGGCATGTTACAACAATTGGGTTCTAAGGTACCTGTACACTGTTCAAAGTAAATTTAAATAAAACAAGTGCATGCAATCAATAAAAATACATTTATTAAATTGATAAGTATATATTTAATACAATATACAGATAGGGCCATAATAAAAAAATTCCTAGATTCTCATCCCAACTTTTTGAAAAATTGAGGTGGGCGGGCGGATTTTATATATTTTATTTTTTCCATCGTGCAGATTTTGTGTTCGACCTAATCATTCGGTGCAGATTTATCTTCAATGCCTAAATAAATGCATATCTCTTACTACTCATCATCACCAATCTTTCATAACCAATGATCCCTGTTTAATGGGCTGTTTAATACATATTACAGCAATAACATCTTGTCAGCTGTCAAATTCATGCCAACATTCGAAGGATTCAAAACAAAAGTTGAATGGTAGTTGAATATATACCGATCCCGATCAGAATCAAGACAAAGAAAAACAGAAATAAAAAAAAATTGAGGCGGGGTTCAGGGATTTTTTTAGGGTCTCTCTGGGGCTGAAATTCGGCCCCATTCCCAATGCTGAAAAGTGCATGTTTTTCCCAAAATCATACCTAAAAATTCCCAATATGAAAAAAGTATTAAGTTGTAAATTATTAAAATAAAATAATGACAAAAAGGTGTTTATGTTCTCTATGTGCGATGTACGAGCCATCCGAGGACTTCTGAGAAGTTATTCAGAATACTATGGATGTTTGCATGCATACTTTTTAAAGCAGGATTGATGTTTAAAAATTGAAGTCGGGATCGTTATCTAAAAAATAAACGTGCATCATGTCAGTCTCTCCAGTTTGCCTTGGACGGTAATTTTCAGGCTGGGTTGAATCGCTCTTATTCTTATAAATTGGTCAAACAATACCTATTAACCACTCATCTGGAACAAACCCACTATCAAATGTTATTTTAAAGAACTTCTTACATAAAGGTAAAAAAGATGACAATGTATAAATCAGTGTAAATATGTTCATTTACAATATTATCATACCCTGCGGCTTTGCCATTTTTAAGCTTCTGAACTTCAACAGCTGCTATTATTTCATATCACTAAAGCTGGTTTAGGCCAGCTTCATACTATAAAAAATAAGAAAAATTATTAAATATTTGACTTTTGCTTGTTTTTTCCTATTTATTTGTATGAAGATATTTTTCCCAATTTCAACCAAATATCGCTATTTTTCCCAATCTTGACGGCCCCGGCCCCTGGAATCAAGGGGTAAAAAAATCCCTGGGGTTAAAAAATTAGGGCGGGCGGGGATGAGAATCTAGGAATTTTTTTTATTATGGCCTAAGGTATAACGTCCCACTCCACAGTCTTTATTATAAACAATAATAATACATGTAATCATATTCAAATGTCACAGATACTCGGTGATAGGTGCTACAGTCTTTAGGTGTCAGATGCCACAGATGGTATCGATGTGCCGTCATGCAATGGCTTCTCCGTAAAACAAATGTTTACATGAAATCGAAGAAAGTGGGTATTGACAGCATTTGAGAAGGGTTAGAAAGCAAATTTTAGTAGAGAAATGTTGTTTGAAGTGAATGCTGACGAGTTGTATTGAATAAGCTGTGGGTAAAAACAAATTGGTTGATTTCTCAAAAACATGTTGCATTCCTGTTTTCTACGCTAATGCATAGCTCATGGCTTGGTCAATCGAGTGATTTCTATTGACATTATTGATAAAATTGCGAACTCTTGTGGTGATATACACTAAGTCGAAGGTGAGACTGTAAACAATTTGTTTCTTTCTCTTTGTAAAAATCTGATTTGGCAGTATTCTCTTTACTGGAATTCTGTGGTGATCAGCATGCAACAAAGTTAACCTTTCCCTTAATTATTATGGCGTCATTATTTTTAGAATATGTATATACTGAATGGATGTGTGGATAAGAAATGGGAAATATATTTCAACAGAAAAATGTACCTCTGTTATTAATTTATTTGCGACACTCTGAAAGGTTTCTACATCATGGCGAAGTGCTGTTGGCATCCATAGCCCCTTCCCATCTAGGGTTGTAAGTAAAAGTCTTGAATCCCTTTTCCTTGGGATGAGAACACTAACAAATTCTCGTGATGTTTGACCTGCCATTTTCCCTTGTTACTACAAACGGAAACAGTGATGTTGTATGTCCTTAAACATTCTACATTTGATCGAGAGACTATCGTCACTTCCAAATTACACAAATCTAATGTAAAATACTGAAATCAGAGAGTATATATTTGGCAGCGTAAATCACTAAATGATATAAATTGGTTTCACTTTCATGACGACCAGTTTACCTTTTGGTCATACGTACTTCTGATGATTCGTAAAATTATGACACGCCATTGTGCTTTAATACCTTTCATCATCATTAAGTAATTTTATTATTGAAATAAAATTATTTGAATTCTTTATATATCTTCATTTAGTTTATCGAGTTTCATTATATGACGCGTCACCATTAAACGACAAGGTTAACAATATTTATTGGTTCACAAAACGAGAAGCGGGCACTAGCAAATTGTTGCGAAGCTAATCAATACCGAAGTCTAAGGTGCGAACAGGTGAGTGATGACTACATTCATATGCAAATCTGTAAAGAATTTAAAGAAATTGAACTTTCTATTTAAATTAAAGAATTATAATAGCTTTCTAAGGAAACTACAAATATCGATAAAAAAAATTATGGAAAAAACCCCACAGAAAAAGGGCTTCAGAAATGCTCTCTTTTTATTCTCTATTGGTGAAAACTTTTGAGTTTGTAAAATATTGTAAAATGTTCCATAAAAATCCATTACTTAATTATAAGTTTAGGGGGAGTTTGATGGTGACCCGATAAGGAGACCTCATTTTCAACATTATGACCCCCCTCCCCCTCCCCATTTCTACCCCCCCCCCCCTTACCCATTCTTGGCTTGGGTCTGTGATTTCGTGAATGCAAGTGAGAATTTGGTCTTTATTTAGTGAATTATTTAAAACTTAAGAATTATGGTGAAACTAAAGTATGATTCAACTTGAACTAGAATGAAATGATGCATTTAATTGATATCTATATATATATGATATGCACAAATATCTGTAGGCTATTTTATCTTGGTTAGAATTTAAAAATATATATAAACCAAACAAGGTATGGCTATTATAAACAAATTACTTTTCATGTATGAAACCAGATAACAAAGGAGAATCAGCCAACTGGATCCACAGCAGCTGTTCTTGCACACCTTTAAATGATAAGTCTAGAGTGTACATTCACCTGAGATTTAAGTATGTAGCATGATGTTGCTTTTATATTTGATTAAAAAAAACTTTTAATTTCTCTCTTTTTTGCATTCTAGCAATATTGTCTACAGTTAAAAACTGAAAATATCTTTTAGAAACCATTAATAATACAGACAAGAAGAAAATTTATTAAGATGCGGTTTAATTTCATATGAAAAAGTACCTGGCCTATAGCACCAGATGATATCAGATCTTAGAAGAAGAAATGTTAGTGTTATTACAAGTGTTGTACAGTGTGTATTGCGAGCTTGAAATGATGACTACATCCACTTTCATTATTAAGTGACAATTTTTAATTGGTGCATATGCAACATGTGCAACAAAATGTGATTTGTTAATAATGAGTAGGCCATAGGTTTTCTTACTGGAGCTGCAGTATGTGTGTTTGTACTCTATTATTCACTTGTTACTTAAAGTATACATATTATATGCTGCACTTAATGATTGTGACCTAGGAATCACTGCTTTTTATTTTTTACATTTCACACTTAAAGAAATATCTCTAAATGTGCTTGTAATTATGCCATGGTTTATCTTGTGTTTTATTTCTTTCAATCTAACAGAGATCCAGATACTGTGGGATACATTGCAAAGAACATTGATTTGTTCTATAGATAAGTCTGTCTGCTGTACCAGATAGCAGGAGATAAAAAAACATTAAGAGATCAATTTCTTCACCTCAGTTTGTAGATGTGATACTTTATATGCATGCATTTACACAGTTAAAGGATCACTTAAACAATTCTGTGTAAATGTCTGTGATCATAGATAAACAAATTAATTTCTATGACTGTTTATTACTTACAGATGAAGAACCTTTAAAAAGCTGATATTGATAGGGGTCTGTATATTGATGAGTGACTTCTTGTTTGTGCCAACACAAAAAGGAATTAGACTCTTTGGGTAGGGATGGGAGGGGGTGCTGTTGTATTAGCCTTGTATTGTTTTGTTTTACACTACAGTGACAGTGTCTGAAGGGAATATTTCCATTCACAATAACTGTTCCTGGTGGTATTGGAAGATGAAGGAAACTGTTAGTGATTGAATGAGACTGATTCCTAAAACTACTTTAATTTAGGTGCAGCAGCTACAAATATATAGCAAAGAAACATACACATGTACTATTGAATATAGTTGCATAATTGTACCGTGATCATTTTTTAAAATACTTATAGAACAATATTTACAATCAATACATATTTTGATTAATATTAAGTGTGTGGAAAGCTATGGCATTCAAAACACCATAACACAGAAAGGAGGTCAAAATGTTAAAGTATGCATTTTATTTTGATGTCATGCACAAAGATTGAATGCAGTGCAAGTGCAGCGTCATAAGCGAAAATCAAAATTCACACTCACATTGAACAGAAGCTGTTGCAATGGCTCTTCCATTAATTGTAACTTATCCGAAGGATAAAACAGGGATTTTGAAATAATTAAATCACATTTGCAGACAAGGCAAGGAGTTAAAAAGTGTAAATTATAAGCATAATCATTATTTTTTTAATAATGTAGTCTCGTAACTGCAACTGTGTGTGCAAACAAATTTTCAAAACGCGCTTTCACGTTACTCGATCAATTTGTTTGTATACATCGCTGCAGTTATGAGACAACATCTTTCAAAAAATGATTCAATGCTTAATTAATTACCTTATGCTTAACCATGCAAAGACGGGGCCAGCAGAGGACAGTTTGGATCAATTTTGTAGAAAGAAATGCCTAAGGAGAAATGTACTGGGTATTGTTTTATTTTATGCCGGTTAACCAGGTACCCATTGCCATCCCTATTTTATACCGATGTTCTCTTTTGGATTTCTGTATCTGAACTGAGCAATTGTAATGGTTTGGGTTGTGGATATCAGCCTGGGTAGCTCATTTGGTAGAGCACCTGACTAGTGATACAGGGGTTCTGGGTTCGATTCCCGGTCCAGCCATACATTTTCTCCTTTCCTGTTTACCAGTTATTGAGTGGGAGGATGCAATTTAATACTCAAAATTCCTATATATATATATATATATATATATATATATATATATAGTAAATGCAAAGATTGTAGAAACAATGCAAATAAAAATATTAAGCTATGTTTCAATTTTCCAGTACTCTATTTCACGAGGACTTGAATGGAAGAATGTGAAACTTGTATGGAATTTTTGAATATTTTTTTTTTACCCTTTACTGCTTTGATAGATTTTAGGAAACTAAGTGACTATTATTGTTACAAAAGTTCCTTCCAAAAAGTAATTTATAATAGGTATTATAAAATTAATTCTTAGTAGGTAATGAAGGCTTATTATTTTGTGTCTTGCTGTTTGACTTTTTATTTTGTCTTGGTCATGCAGTCACCTTTTTGCATTATTCACACATTTATTAAGTCTGGGGAATTCCCATCTGTGTGGTTTTTTGATCAATTTTCATATCAACACATAGGTTATACTGGTAAAAAGGTTAGAGGGTTGTCTAATGACTGGTCATATTTGGAGAAGAATTACAGGTTTTAAGAGCTGATACTCCACTTTTCTTTCCAAATACCTGCCTTCTGTTACATTTTTAAATAGCTGTGTTTTCCATTTAAATGCCCATGTTCTTCTTGGTAAATCTATTTGAGGGAGATAAGACTAGCTGAATAAATAAGAAGTCTTGAGAAAATGTATGTATTCTGCATTGTGTCAGTATTAAATGCCAATACGTATACACACAGAAAAAAATGTAACTGCTGTGTGTACTTAAATTTCTCAAGGTAAAGTTTAGCTGTAACGACCTGTGTGTGGTACCATCTTACGATTGACCAGCCTAACATCTTATACCAGTTTCCTATAAGGGTTTGGGTGGTAAAACAGAAGGGATATATTTGGATTAAAATTATTAATAGTACATTTATGATATAAGTTGATGTGGCTTTATCCTGTATGTATAGGCGTTAGGTGATTCTCTGTGATAACGGATGTTGTGTTACATGAGTACATTCTGGGTTAATATGTGAGGATCAATACCTGCAATAATATCATAAGGTAAATATTTTATTATCTAATTTCTTTCTTTTTTTTGTTTGGAAGAGAGTATTAACTGACAGAGGGATTATAAGATCACGTAATGATTTATATTTCTAGATCTATAGTACACTAGCATAGGTTAATTTACACTAGCAAAGATAATGGAGCTATACTGAATCTGGTTTCTAATTATTTATGACAATAAATGTATACTCTGTATCATACAACTCCTTTCTCTAATCAGTGTTCCCCCAGGACTTCCTTTTCCTTACCAGACCAGTATATCTCCTGGTACTACTATAATTTCCATATCCTTTTTTAACTTATGTTTAGGGGCTTGATAAATTGTCAAAAATGATTGTGGCATCATAAATGTAGGTTAGGGAGTACCTCCACTATGATCACAACTCCTCCCAATAATATGAAAGACTGTTCCTATGATAAAAATCTCTCTTTCTTTCTCTCTCTCTTTCACAGAGAAACTTCTTTTTTTCCCATTCTCCCCACTTTTATGAACCTTTTAGTCACAGAGAGAAGCATTGAACACCTGGATTCTTTGTAATTCTTCTTACAGTTAAGTGATTATGACAGATGATTTACCTCTTTGAGAAGTTACAGAGATACAGACAGTTTGGGATTTTATCTGATATTAGGAATTTAAATGCTTATTCATAGTTATGTCATCATCCCATTGTTGGCATACTTTTAAAGCCCTCTGACCTTCAGTCTCTTTTGTCAGTCAGAAGTTTAAACCAGTTCCAGGATGTAATATTCAGAAAGGATTGACTCCTAATCTTTTTTAAAAACCATTTTCTATGAATTTTTGTTGAGCCAGGGTTGGATTTGTGTGTATATTTAGAGGATAAAATTAGCAACCATATAGGAAAATATAATAATCTCAAGAAGGAAACAGGAATGTAAGTTTTATTAAATATTTATTGGGTTGATTGAGACAAGAGTTATTATATTTCTGGCAGCACAGATATAATTTTTATGAAAAATGTGTTTAAAGGGGAATAACTCTTCATATCATTTCAACACATAGCCTAGCTCATTGTGAAAGTGACTTTATTTGCCTTTAGTTTTTAGAGAAAGCGCGGAAAATAATTTTTATTGAACAAATTAAAATGTTTGTACAAGTAAAACTCAGATTCTGTAGTTTTTGGTTTCTACTAATAGAATCAATTTCACTTACATTTAACTGAATACATATTATTTAGTTCAGTGTGACCAATGCTGATTCAGGAGTTATTTCCCTTTATAACACAATTTATATTATCACCATATTAGGGAAAAAAATTGTTTAGCTTTAATAGTCTGCATGTGACCTGACTCATTTAAAAAATAAATAGAAACTCTGAATATTGCTTCATTGCAGATCAATCATGCACTTGTCAGACAGAATGTGTGCTCAAAGCATTTTTTCTCTGGTTATAATTGTGTAGATTTAAATGCTGAAAGATATTTATATCTTGTTCAATAGATTTAAAGTTGTGCCCTGGCTTGCTTGCACAATTTTAGAGTTGTTTGTTTTCCTAAACTCCAGGTTATTTGAATATTGATTTTCATGTTTGGAAAAAAACAGTAGCCTGATTTGGGGTTTTCTTCTTAGAAAATTATGGTATGTTAGATGCATCTTGAGGGTTTTATGTCATTTGTGTGGGAACAAAAAGAAATTATGAGTAATTCACTCAAGTTGAGGCATATGATAATTTCAGTGTTATGGTGCACTTTTGAATCCAACACTGCATAAATTAACAAACATACTAATACCCCAGGGAGAAACGCTAACTTCAACTTAAGTTTCTTTTAATTATAAATTTTGCCAGTTTCTTGTTTCATTACATCTTATCTGTGTAAAATGCTCTACATCACCCAGTCATAACAATATATATAGGTAATATGTTCATATCTGTATACCTGGTGACAATACACAGATTTGACATGTAAATGGAGGTTACCTGTATCAGATATTATCGGGCTGGGCCTAATGGAGAGCGAGCTTTAGTCGGCATTGATACGATTTATACTGTACATGATTAAATTCTTTGTAGAGAGATGTTTAGTTACTGGATATCCAGGGTTGATCAGATTGATACAAAAAGAAAGTGATTGTACCACTCACTTCCATACTGAGTGGTGACCTGTCCTCATAAAAAGTGCATTGAAATATATTAAGGAATGTTTTAATGATATTTAAAAGTAAGTTTACCAGAGATCTAGATGTTTTGAAATTCCATAATGTGCGTCATTTTAATATTTTGATATATCTTAGTACATGTATATGGCATTTGGCGTATGTTGCCTGGTTTATATTTGACTGTAACAGTTATACATAATGTATTCAGGAATGTGTATGTCTTTCGAGATCATTTATAAGGTGTACTGTGATATTTATAACTGGTGGATGGTGTGTCATCTTATAGCCCATGATTATCACTTTGTTCATTAGTCAATCACATGGGAACACTTTGATGTGATGTAACATCTCAGGTATTATTCAGCCTCTAAAGGAGTAACTTTCTCTAAATTAAACTATTTGTATCAATATGCAATCTTTTTTTATGTTGATTAGGATGAGAATTGCTTTTCTTGTCCTATTAGTAAGTGATGTCAACTTAAGTACATCAAACAAGATACTCATTTATAGACACATAAGGGAGCCAAAAAACAAAGATCCGTTTTCCTGTGTCTGGACACATCTTTCCTGTAGAGAACATGTAAAAAAGCTAAATATGTAGACAACTATCAAGTGTCTGCAAAACCTTAATAATGGACAACCCAACTCAGACTACTGTTTCCCCACCCCAGGGCAGAGAACACCTAGTTATTAAACTGAGAGGGGGATCAAAGATCTTTGTGGGTGTAAGTGTTCAGGATTTTTGATGAGTTACATATTGATGTAGTCAATTTATAAGGCTTTTAAAGTGCTCTGAGGACTTGCAATATAAATGTTGTGAATCTATATATTGTATAAGTTAACCATATGAAATTGTAATTAGCATTGATGTAGACGCATCTAAAGGTGTCTATTTTGTCCATTGCTGTGATGTAGTTTCCCATTGATTGTAGCATTACTCTTTGAAAGATTTAATGAAAAGTCTGCTTTTTTTCCATTTTTGATTATCATAATTTTTAAAATTTTCCCAGAATGGTACTCCAATACATAATTACTTTTCAGCATAGGAATTGTCTTTGTGAATGTGAAGTGGAGTGGTTTATTTTTCCACACGTAGAAAATTGAATTCTATTGATGTTGAGTTAAAAAAAAAAAGTCTCGTTTATATTTTGTTACTTTCCAGGTTACTTAAAAATCCAATTAATGTCACCTCACAGAGTAAATATATAGGAAGCCATTAAAGGTTCACTTAATAACATGCTTTGTATGCAAAACTTCCTAGCAAGCAGTCACTGATCAAGAAAAAAGTAGTTTAATAAATCTGTCTGTATTGCAAGTTTGTGTGTAAATTTAGAGTCACTGTGATGAATTTATATACATTTAGACAGGATAATTTGCACTGATTATAGAAGCCATCACTTACTGACAGATGTAATGTTTGGTGAGTACTCTGTGGTTTAACTTATGTCTGAGGTTTATACGGTACGGTAAGGTGAGATTTTACCGTCTAGTGATTTTGTCTGTCCATAAGGTGAGATGATTATCTACATTCGTATGGTACAGTTATAGGTAACTGAGAGTCAGTCAGGCAGGTGATGCTGACATTTTTGGATTACTTTTTAATTTTTTTTTATCTTAATTTTATTTAAAAATTTGGAATTATAATTTTGTAATCAGTGTTTAATGCCAATTAAGGTTTTTCTAGAAATATGTTTCTAGTTGCCATCTTCTTGGATACAAGTTTACTTAATTTTCCTACTTTATAAAACAATCTATGAATTAATAAAAATTTTGATTGGAACGGAAACATTTATCTTGTGGACCTTTATCATCTACTTCATTAGCTAAATTAAACAATATATTTTTAGTCACATATGATAGGTAAGATATTTTGAAAATGATGAAGACTACTCATGTCATTTAAGGTCAAGGTCATATACTAAGGCCATTAAAAGAAAATAAAACATAAGACTCAAGTACTTATCATCTATTTATTGTTGTTTTTTTTGTTTTTACAAATCTTTTGAATCTCTGCCTCTATAATTTTTAAAATATATATAACTTGGTGTTTGTGATTCAGTCTTGTTGCAGTCACCTGCAGCTAGAGCACAGAGCTTTGTTGATATTATAGCAATTTCAGTGATGTTTTATATGTATTTTCATTTTCCCTGATAGGCTTAAAATTTGTCTTGCAGTAGTTTATGAGGATGTGGTTAAGCGTATATGGGACAATAATTGCATTTAGTTGTAAAAAAAACTATGTTAGGTAAGCCGTGCCATTAAACACCTTGTGATGTGGTACATTTATTTCCTAACACTGATTCATAAATTGATATTACTGTGAAATTCATTTGAAGTTTCAAAAACTTAAAAATATGGGTGATGTTATTTAAAGAATTCATATTAATGCACAATGGATCTCTAGATTGGTAATCTAGATATTACGAATATGAAAATCTTGAAGAAGATTCTGGTTTCAGTTAAAATCAAGGTAATGTACGTGTGCATCGTGTTAGGGTGTGAGATTACAGCTATCATTGAAGTATAATCATTGTAGATATGTTTTAATATAAATGTCAGGCATAAAATGTGGAATGAGTCAGCGTGAACTGACGTGTCCTCCAAACAGAAAGAAATCAATATTATTCTTAACTAACGGAAGAGGAAAGTGAAGTGGCTGCTTCATTTATAGCGACCTGTTTATAAGAGTCCCTGCTTCAGTGATTTCTAGTTTTAGGTGGTGTGCGACAAAACTTTAATTATGGCTTGTCGACAATTCCATTAATCATTCAGCCTTTAGACACATGAACCTAAGAAGGTATTAATTAGAATCTTTTTTAGTGTTGTTGTCTTTATAAGTTTGTAACATTGTGCAACAACTGTAAGAACTCTGTTGTTCATTGACAAAATGGACAATGAAAGCTATAAGGAGACTGAATACTGATCGATAAAGGAGCTGTTGTGAATGATTCACTAAGTCCTCTCACACTGTGATTTTTTATTTTCCAGAGAGAAAAGGAAAGTAGACTACAAGCAGAATCATCAGTAGACCTTGAGTCACAAGGTCAAAGGCAGTCATCAAGGTCACATGAGGCTGGTGTGTCTATTTATATCCGATTTCCCACTAAGCTAAGAATAGTGAAGATGGCTGAACAGCGAAGAGCACAGCTCAATAGGGTAAGCTTAAACTTATAAATGTCTGTTACATATTGTGCTATTGCAGTTTCTGTCAAATCTTTACAAAGTTACTTATATTGTATATATACTGTATGATATGTTACCTATACTAATTAACTTGTTTTAACAGAGAATTTATATTACAGAATAATATGGGCCATTTCTGCAGTTCTGATTTGGTTGTATGTTGTAGTTTTAATTGAAATTGTAAAATATTAATACTTATTTCATATATCTATTTGATTTAAGTCTCAAAACCCTCCACAAAATTTAAACACCTATGAAAATAAACCCTCAGAACCTTTGAAATGCAGGAAGGCCTTATTTTCAGTATTCAGCTACATAGTACTTTTTTCTCAAAATATTCAGACATTGTTTATAACATACATGTATATGCTTATATATATTGCTTTTGGTATGTATTCCCATGTATTTTTTTTTAATTTTATTTATATTTGAGTAAATTCAGTACAGAATCAATATTGAGAATTCATTTGATATGAAAACTTAAGAACTTTGGGAAATGAAAAGGGGAAGAGTGGAGAATAACATTGAAAATCCCATTAGAATTAACCCTATGGTTGTTTTTGGTCTGTCTGTGCATTTGTCTCCACCAACATACACCTTGGCCATAACTTTGAAACTATACACATATATGAGGGGTGATCAAGAAGTTTGCGAACTACTTCTGTGTCTACAAATCGGAATGAAATATGGCATAGGTCACATTATATATAGTTATAAACATGTTCTATAAAAAGCATGTGTTACAATATATTTTGCTCTTTGTTTATGATGTCACGATGTGAAAATGACGTCAGTTAATGTAGATGACATATGACAAAAATAGCAAAAATGGTTGATTCAGTCGTACTCAAGCATGGAGTGGCTGTAAGGTTTTATGTAAATCTTCAGAAATTCTTAGCAGTAATATACAATGATTTGTACAAAGGTTTATGGTGACAAGGGACTTGCCTTCAATTAGTAATTGGATGGATTGTAAGTGAAGGAAGAGAGATGGTATAAAAATGATGTTTGTTCTGGGTACCCAGTGAAAGTGAGCTGGGACTGAGATGTGTTCTTAGTAGAGCTATTTGTAATAAAAGATTGCAGAGTCAAAGTCAGAGAAATAGTTAAATATCTTAACAAAAAAATATTTCTGAATCCCCTAAAATTTCAGTAACTTTAGACTGTTAACAGACCAGTTATGATAAAGGGAAAGCACCCATACTTGATCCACATTGAATACATGACACATCCAAGACAGAGGAGTCTGGTTATGAAGGACACAATGCTTATACATGTATTTGGAAAAGAAATCCTAATCCACCCATCCTGTTAACAAGAATTGGCAGTTTTGACATATGGGCTATTATTGTTGTAAAGATAATCTGTGTGGTAAGAAATACAAGATCGGGCGGGAAATTCGTTGGGCTGCTCTGAATGGTATGCAGCCAGGTTAAGAACACCCATGGGAAATACACCTTGAAATACTTCGGGAAAATGAATACATTGTTGATATCGGTTTTAAACACACAAGTTTTTGTTGAATTGGAATTCTGCTATTTGCATATGTATATAAAGGGTCTCTTCTGAGCTTCCACCACAGGGACGTCACTTACATCAACTGTTTGTCATGTGACAAGTTTAAAATCAGAAAAAAAGTGTGTATGGCTACATAGATCTTAAAAATTCAATGATATACAGATATCTTTTTGCTATGAAATTGATTGTGTTTGCTTTAAGACAAATTCCTTAACATGAAAGGAGCTCAGGGAGGAACTTCCTATATAATATATATAATCTACCGGGGTATACTAAAAATAATATACGCGAGAATGAAATTTTGCCGAGCAGACCATCTTGAGTAACTACGCAAAAATAAAGTTCTCGCAAATAAAAAAAGAATTTACAGTATATAAAGATAAGCTGCACAATGATTATCTCTGCATTATAAATGAGAAACAAAGTATTTTAGTTTGTATGAAAAATAGCGTTAGCATTTATTCATCGAGAATCATTTCTATTCTTATAATGAGATGTCAGAATCGTTTTTCCAAACCTCTGCATATGCTAATGTAAGTATGGAAGTCCTTAACCTAGCTGCATATGTTAAAGGCATGTCACATAGGCGACTGGACCACGTGTGTCTTGCATTGGCAGAATGGTAGCATAATTGCGTATTACAACTGAAGCGGCCTACTTTAAAAAAGAATAAACACTGAAACCCAATTTGATTTCTATTGTGAAAGTTATTCAATTCGTTTGCAAACTTTTTGATCACCCCTTGTATAATCAATATAAAAGTCAAGGACTTGCATCAAGTCAAGGTCATTGAGATAAGATTGTTTTAGGGAATTTTTAATAAAACAAAAAAAAAAGAAAGATATGTAAAGAAAATATGCTATATCTCATCAAAAGTACTATGCTTCATAAAGGAAGTTTCACCATTTAAGCAGCATTAAAATTATAGGCTGACCGCATGAAAACAATACATATATTCAACTTAATGATTATGAATTATTTTATTTATATATTTTAAGAATTACTTTCTTTTTCATATTTGGTTTTCTACAATAAAATAATTTTTATATCTCTGAAATATGGATGTTAGGACACTTATAACTCTCTTTTATGTAAACATGATATCCAAGTATGAATTGTAGAGAGTAAGCTATTTTGATGCATGTTACTGCATGACAGTGTTTGTGTCTGTTTTGTCCAGAGCATGGAAAAAAGTTTTGAGGATTTACTGACCGGATTAGATGATGACCTTGAACCAGATATAGATGACATCTTCACAAACTGTGATCATCTGCCAGAGGTTTGTCATCTTGTTTTACAGAGGCCAATATTTGCCTAGTGATTTTCTAATCTTGGCACTGATTGGCTAGATTGTCAGCATTTAATTTCTGTTGGGTATCTCCTTATTCTCACACAGTGAGTTTAAACCTTATTGCTCTAGTCACAAAAGTTGGTTAGTGGACAGATTTCAAAAATTGATTACCTACTGGTAATTCTTAAGAATCTATCTTCTCTCTATTGCTTTTTTAGATGTAGTACATTTGTCAACCCCTTATCCTACATATCTCAAAAATTAAAGTTCTAGTTTTCTAACACATATTTACACTATATATTATATAACTTGTTCTTTGACACATTCATCTAGTGTATTTTTCACAATGCATATTGATTATTTAGAATTAAATGTTGTAGTTAACAAACTTTAGTGAATTACATAAATTAATTTTCATATTGAATCACATTCCATGAGTAACATTGAAAAGATGAGAGGTTGAAGGTGTTCTGTTTGAGTGATTGTAGAAGCTAGCATGTTTGCTTGGAATTTCAGAAAGTTACAGATGCCACATTTAATGCCATGGCTTTCCAACAAAAAGACAAAAAGCCTTCTCCAGTGCCTTCACCAGACAAAGAGGAAAGGGAACAGTTTCAGTTTCCAAAGGTGTCTAAATCTTCTCCTGAGGAACCCCAAGAGGAGGACCTGGAGGATGTTCAGTTACCCCGAGCAGAGAGAAACACAGACCCAGGGATTCAGAGTGAGAGTGAAGAGGAACAAGACAGGTTACCAGAGGAACTGGAGTTTGTTTCATCCAAAGGGAATGGAGAGGGTGAAGTTTATGATGCCACAAAGTTAATTATGCCAACATTTGGAGAAAGCAGCACAGATGATACACTCCTTGGGAAAGTGGAGCTGGAAGACGATGAGGAGGAAGATGATATGAGAGATGAGGAAGAAGATGAGGAAGATGATATGACGGAAGAGGGAGAGGAAGAAGAAGATGATATGAGGGATGATGAAGATGAGGAAGGCAGTGTTGAGGAGGAGGAGATGGAGGACCAGAAACAAGCCAGTCAGGAAGACAGAAGGGAAAACACAAAAGACCTGACCATGTTTTCTGGTCTGGATCATGATGACTCAGATCCAGACATTGATAAGTTGGTTGCTGAATGTGACTTCCTGCCTGAGGTTTGTGCATTGCTACTAGCTTTTGCATTCAGTCTGAAGTACTTTTAGATTAGTTCAGAATTAAAATGTGCCTTTTGATAGGACTAGATATGAATGTCAAACATGAGTGGCTTGAGTGTTTGCATTTTGTCACATTACTAATGGTTTAATTTTTCGTTAACCCTTTAAATGTACAATTAATCACTTTTACTAAACATAGAAGTATGAAGATTTGAATCTTAAATAATCTTGATATTTCAGACTGTGTCTGATTCCACCATTAATGCCATGGTGGACAGAAATCGACCCCTGGCCAAATCTTACCGCCAGAGTCTAGAGATACAGAGTGAAGATCAGGATAATGAAGAAACCATGGAAACAGACATACAACAGGAAGAACACAGCCCTCCTCCCGTAACTCATTATGTCTCATCTGTAAAATATAGTGTTTGATCGGTATCAAATATAACCATTTCAATTAACACTACATTATAATTAGTACGATGGTATAATTTTACTTTACAGGATGTTCTTATCAGAATTCAAAAAGAGGAAAGCCTAGATTTCTCTGTTCTTGAGGTGAGTTCTTCTTGAGAGATCATTTAACAGTTGCGTATATTCCATACAGGCAAACAGGCTGTAGCCTACACATCATTTTCTTAGGGATAAAAAAATTTGTTGAAAAAAAGGGAAGAAAAGAAGATAATAATACGTTTTATTTCCACTATGGAAGAGTTACATTTCTTAGTGTGCTCTTTTGTAAAAAAGTCGAAAAATGTACAAATCTCGCGGGATTTCTGGGACAAACGTAACATAAACATGTAAACAATATGTTGAATGTTGATGAACAAATCCTAACAAAATGCAAATGAAATATTTTATTGTTACGGACTTTATATACATCAAGAGTAGGAATGACAACTATATCAATTTATATCTATTGTTGATCGTATGACAGTGTATCTATTTATCGTATAGTACATCTAATACAATTACAATACACATGCCTCGGAAATATCCTATTGTTTATAAATTGATGATAAATTTAGGGTTCTCACTCTCTTACATATGTCTTTCAGTTCTTCTGTTCTTTAATTGGAATGACAAATACATTTAACATTTAAAACTGGATTGAGATTGGCATGTTTTGTGTTATCCGCAACGCCATGCCGTCCCAGTCAGGCGACCAAACGTGCCTCTAATTTTGAAGAGTTCACTAATGGAAATCAAATGTATTATTATCTATTAATTTCATTTTGTTGCAAATGCCAAAAAAAAGCATTCTTAGCAATTGGTACTTTTATACCTATCCAACATTGACAGTTTTAATAAATATTTAATGACAAAACTTCCTATAGCTGGAATTTTTTAAATGATTAGAGCAGGAAATGAAATTAATATTACTGGAAATAGATTTTTGGTTAGTAAGAAATTAAATATATTGATCGTATTTAGATTATTCAGTAAGGAAGTTTCCTTATTTTCTAAGCAGAGTAAAAATTAGTTAAAAGTTCTCAATTTTGTTAAGTAGTCTTCATATCATGATATAAACTGAAAAAAATGTTTACAATATTATTTTCACTCGTCAAATTGTAGATGACAATCATAGATGTCTTTGCAAAAAAGCTTCCACCGACCCCCCTGTTCCCCCAATCCCTATCGAGAGACCCGGGGTGGGGGGCGACCTTCTCTTTGCCCACCCACACTTTGCGCCTCAGGTTAAATCTGTGACTTCTCACTAGCCTACACATTAGCAGATAGGAATATATGCCACTCTTTAATATATCCTCAGCATTATAAATTATAATGCTTTTTGTAAGTTTGATTACAATAAATATGCACAGAAGAAGAAACACAGAGACATAGTCAAAGAACATTACTCTGTAAACAATGACATCTTCCTCTAGTGATTTTGAAATAATCATAGAAGTTATATATAAATGCACAGAACATCACAGGACAGACAACATGATAATGCTAGAAGCGTTGTATTTTGCCTTGGCTTTGATGAATGGATGTCTGGTTCTTGACACATAGTACAGAAGCCTTTGGGTCATGCACTAAGTGTCAAATCCCTGACTACTATTTTTGGCATTGTTGCAAAATTACACTATTATAATAGCACCAGTAAGTGATATTAATACATTAATTTCTGTTTTTTTTAGCCTGATAACAATCATTTGGATGTAGACATTGGAAAGCAAAAGACAAACCTGAGAAAGCAGGGATCCCTGGCCAAAAGGAGGAAACCAACTCGCTCTACTGTCAGGAGCGCTCTCCTGTCTGGGGAGGAGGCAATGTTCCAGGATTCTACGGGTAACTTTAAAAGTTTATTATTTAATCAGTGTTTAAAAAAGTTATAATTCTATGAATTTCAATTTTTGGGGTTAAAAAAGAACAGTTTCAAGTTGCAAATATACAAAATTTCTTCACTTCTTCAATGTAAACCAAAAATAAGAAAACAATTTATTGAGAAATTTGTATAGTAAATTGTCAGAATACATATTATTCAATTGAAATGTTTATTTACTCTTTTGTTGAACAAAAGTCTGTTCTCAAAAAAATTGTTTATACTATAAAATGTGTGTACCTAACTATCATCTGACCATGTATCTGTATCTTATACAGAACCTAAAACAGAGCGAGCTGACAGTAAGGGGGAGGACGATGTGTTTGGACAGAGGTCCTCCTCCTCTTCTGTAGAGGGAGTACCAACATCACCTCCAGCCAAGAAACCCAGTAAAGTCATGGTACCACTGCCAGGATTTGGGGGACCCAAGGTGGACTTAATTTTTTTTATCTTTTATCACTGGTAATTTAGAAAAATAAATTTTAGCACATGCTTTGTCAAGCTTAATATTTACAAAAGTAAATTTACAGGATGAAGTTTTTTGGTCGGTAACTTTAGACTAAATATAGGTAGCTTGTGAATTCAGTTGCATATTGAATTGTAAATTTGATGTTCATTGTGTCATAATGCAGATGGCTGTATTGAATAACTTGCAGTACAATGTAGTACATTATGAAAATTTGTCTGTACAGCCATTCATGTTATGACATTCATACCTATATTTACCATATATTTATTGATTTCATGGTAGACTGATAAAGTATCGCTTCTTTAAATATATTTTGCTTGTTCAAATGATATACATGTACATTGTACTTTTATACTTGGTAGCTAAATTGAAGTGACTGTTCAACATGAGTTTGAATTTGACTTAATTCATTTATGATGTTGCACTTAATTATGGAGTTCAACCTTTGTGACATAAAAATTAAAATCATTACTATGACCTTTTGAACTCCCTGTCCATAAATGCTGAAGCTTTCAATTCACCTTATTTAAAAAATCATGTCTTGGAATGTAAAAATTTAAGTATATTCTATTTTGTAGTAGAATGCAGGCTACAGAGTATTAACTGATTATTATGTTTTGCAGCCTGAGCTTAGGAAGAAATCAGAGGAACAACATGAAGCAGAAATGGCAGTAGATGAACCAAAAAAGAAGGACTACAAAAGCTATGGAGTCAAATTACCTGTTCCTCCTTTGCCAAGGAAAAGTGAAAGTGAAAGTACGGAGGAGACCATAAGCAAACCTGTCCTGCGGAAAGTTCCCAGGAAAGACAGTGTTGAGAGGCAGGAACCAGAAAAACTTTATGATGTATCTTCTTTGAAATCAGTGAACAGAGAGGACAAAGTGTCAAAAACTGATGACTCAGACAAATTCTTAGAGAAGCCTTCTTTGCGGCAAGTGAAAAGAGATGAAAATAAAGGAACAATTTCTAGTGAAAATACATTTGAAAAGCCCACTTTGAAGAATGTTTCTAGGCCAAGTGTGGATAAATCAAGTGAATCAGACATGAAATTTGAGATTCCAGCTTTAAATAAAGTTTCGAGGGAGAGAAATGAAAGCAATAAAACTGATCAAGACAGTGAAAATGTGTATGACAAATCATCTTTAAGATCCACCCCAAAACCTCCAGATAAACAGTCAACCCCTACTTCCCCTAAGACCCCAGAACCAAAACCATTTGCTTTGCCTGCTTTACGTCCAACTCCAAGAGCCAACAGAGGCAGACAAGAAGATACAACTTCTCAACAGGACACAGGTTCATTTGAGAAGCCAGCTCTACGAAATGTGTCAAGGCCATTAGAGAGAAAGGGGTCTGTAGAATCAGGATCTTTTGAGAAACCCACTCTGAGAAATGTTGGCAAACCTCCACTGCCTGAGAAAAGGATTTCCATTTCTGAGGATAGTAGCGAGGAGAAACACAAGTTTGACATGCCAGCTCTGAGAATGGTACCAAAAGACCAGAGGCCTACACAAACACTGAGAAATGTTGTAGGTCAAGAGAAAGATTCTGAAACTGAGGCAATTAGAAGACCCTCCCTAAAGTCTACACCTCAGAAAGAAATTCCAAAGTCAGAGGAAAGTAAAGAAGCTCCATCTTGGTTGAAAAATATGAAGTTGAGGAAAACAAAGAGTCAAGCAGAGGACATCAACAATGTAGGAGAAACTAAGGAGAAACCAGAATGGCTGCAGACAGCCAATGAAAAGAGAGAAAAGGCTATGGAAACACTCAACTCCAAAGGTAAACTGGCAATAGCTACTAGTATTCTACAAGAGAATCTCTCTCACCATTTGTATTTTCTCTACTTTTTAATAGCCTTCAGTTGATAACCTAAATATCAGATTCATATATTCCTGTGTTTGTGATTTTTTGCATATTGTCAGTATTAAAGCATGGAGCCTTTGCATTTTTTCCCCTGTCAGTAAAATTTGTCATGTTTTTCACATACATCCTGCGCTTCATACAAGGTAATAAAATCATTTTTCTATCTGTAGAAAATCTAGCAAAAAATAGCTCAGAAAGTAATGTGTCTTGGTTAAGTCGGGACAATCTGAAGAAAACTGCCACTCCATTGCAAGAAAATAATGACAATTTACATTCCAATCAAGAGGAGGGCAGAAAGAGGCTAAGCTCACTGGAGAGTAATGGAGACATTGATTGTAGATCAAGAGAGAGAACTCCTGCCAGAAATAGTAGACAAAGTATTCATTTATGGAATATGTTGAAAACTATTGCTATGCCTAAATATTAGCTTCTATTTTCTTAAAAGTAAAGTTTTCTTTCATTCTTTATGTCATATATTATTTAAAAGTTAAAATTATATTCTTAAGCATTCAGTCATATCAAATCTTACACTTTTCAGCATGTTTGCTTAATTATCTTATATACTGTACAATATTTATATGTGTAAGTTTGACACAATGTAATTCAGTAGTAACTTCATATACACTCTAATCATTCATAAAACTTAAGAGAAAAATTGCTTAAAATTGTGATCAATATCTGTACATGTCTAAATGCCCATTTTTTCATTAGATGGTCAGAGAGAGAACTATGTGCCAAGCTGGTTGAAGGCCAAGGACAATCATCATAAATCCAATCCTAACCTGAATTTTGTGACCCCCTCATCAAACTCAGATGAACCTCCGGACTGGAAGAAAGCATTGGCAGAGAAGAGGAAAAATAGGCGAGACTCAGACACCCCAGTAAGAAATAAAACATTAGGGTGAATTCACCGTGCATCAGACACCCTCGCACTTCAACCAGTTCTAGCGATATCGCTACTGACCGAATATTATCAAAATGGAACTTAACATGTAGTAGTGGTTAAAATATAAATTTTTGACACAATTGTGTGCTCTTTATTGAGAAAATATCATTTAAACCCGATTTTTTCGAAATAAGTCAGAATTCACCATGGATCGGACAATATTTACCATGCATCGGACGTATGGTATTTAAACCAGAAATTAAAAATATCACACCTTGATCTCGGTGCTTTAAAATGAGTGATATCGAAACATTTTTATCTTTAATTAAAAAATTAAAACTTCTAGTTAAATTTGAATGACTATTTCGATCCACAAATGTGAAGAGATTTTAGGTGCATCACATCGCCTTAGAAAGGCTTTATAATGCTAGTAATACGGCAACTCGCGCCTTTGTCTCGTGGGTTATCATCATCTAGTTTAAAGAAATGGGTCCACTTCTAGTCGTCATATATCGATATCTTGTATTTTCACTTAAAATTTAGAGTTTTTATTTTCTATTTCCATAAAAAACGGCTGTCATTTGGGTTTTATATGAAAATGGAAGGGATTACCCATGCATCGGAAAGTGTCCGATGTATGGTTAATTTGTGTCCGATGTATGGTGAAATAAACATACTAGTAAAAAACAGCTCTAAAAATTATTATACAAACATTGAAGTAAAATTTTTGAAAAAATTCTGTAAAATAATCAATTATTGACAAATTTTACCAAGGTCTGACTCATTCCGCTGAAGTCTATTTAAAAGAGCGACAACTCTAAAAATTGCAAAATCATTAAATTCTGGTTATTTCCCTTTGATGAAGCAAAATATGACGTAATTTCAAGGCCATTCTTGTGGTATTTTTATCACAACATGGAAATAAGAGTCGGCACCATTAAAAAGTTTAAATCTTCACCTTTAGATAGAACAAGTAAAAACACGGGGAGATTCGGGATCGATAAAAGTTTATCGCTTAAAGTTGTTCGAAGCAAGGTATGTGTCCGATGCATGGTTAACTCACCCTATAAGATTTTTATGAAAATTCATATAAATACATATATCTTTATAAATATAAAGAGGTCAATGAAAATGATAAATTTTGAAAATTGACCTAAAGATAGGCAATAAAAAAATATTTCATTTACAGTCCTTTGTTAAGATATTTTGATCACTTAGGTACTACAGTAGTATTATTTTGATCAATTTGTTATGGTAGTGTTATTTTGATCACTTTGTTACAGTAGTGTTAGTTTGATCACTTTGTTACAGTAGTGTTATTTTGATCACTAGGTAAAACAGTCTGCTGACACAGAGAAGGGTATTCCTCCTTGGAAACAGGAATTAGCTCAGAAAGGCATGAAGTCCTCCACCCCTCTCAAAAGTAAGTACCAAGAAAGGCATGAAGTCCTCCACCCCTCTCAAAAGTAAGTACCAAGAAAGACATGAAGTCCTCCACCCCTCTCAAAAGTAAGTACCAAGAAAGACCTGAAGTCCTCCACCCCTCACAAAAGTAAGTACCAAGAACAGTATGAAGTCCTCCACCCCTCTCATAAATAAGTACCAAGAAAGGCATGAAGTCCTCCAACCCTCTCAAAAGTAAGTACCAAGAAAGGCATAAAGTCCCCCACCCCTCTCAAAAGTAAGTACCAAGAAAGGCATGAAGTCCTCCACCCCTCTCAAAAGTAAGTACCAAGAAAGGCATAAAGTCCCCCACCCCTCTCAAAAGTAAGTACCAAGAAAGGCATGAAGTCCTCCACCCCTCTCAAAAGTAAGTACCAAGAAAGGCATGAAGTCCTCCACCCCTCTCAAAAGTAAGTACCAAGTGCTTAATTTGGGTTCTCATCAACTGTAGAGAAAACAGAAATATATATAGACTAAAATAAGCTAATAAACTGTACTTACTGTAAAATAAAAAGAAAAGTGTGTATTGAATTTGTTTGATATCTATAGCTTCATCAGACCAGAAGAAAGCAGAGCCAGAATGGAAACAGAAGGCAGACGAGAAAAGGCAAAGAATCATAAGTAAGTTACAATTACTATCCAGCAGAAAATGAATCAAATTGGACAAAGTTTTCATACTGGTTTGTTGTATCAGCTATGATAAACTATAGAAATTTTCCTTACCATGTTTATAACAGAGTCATACTTAGAAAAAGACTCGTGATGGGTAAGTGGTCACACCTGTGAGAACCCCTGTAATAATGCTCACCAAATCTCTTATAGACTTGGTATCAGTCATTCCACTGTTGTGTTCCAAAGCACTTCATCGACAGGGGGTAGTCAGTCACTTCATTTAAATGTTCTAAACTCTTCATCTGGAGGGGTATTCAATCATCCCACTTAAATCCCACTTAAATGTTTGTGGTACATCATCAGTAAGAGGGTACTTTGTTACCACATATATGTTTAGAGCATCTCATTTAAAGAGGTACTTATTCATCCCACTTAAATGTTTGCGATACATTATCAATTCGAGGATACTTTGTCACATACATGTTAGAGCACCTCGTCTAAAGGGGTATTCATTCATTCCACTTAAATACCACTTAGATGTATGTGATACATCATCAATAATGGTAGATACTTTGTCACATACATATGTATGGAGCACCTCATCTGTAACATGTCACCCCCAGTTATTTGTCCAGTGCACCTCACCAACAGGGTAATAAATCACATTACATGTCTATCCAAAGCACAACAGTTACAGAGGCTACACCTCACAGAGAGCATTCCACTGTTCTACATGCTAACTTTCAATGGATACTTATTCAATATACTTGCATAGAGCACCTCACTCATGGAGGGTCCATGTTTATTTCACTTGTATGTCCAGGTTACCTCACCAAAGTTCTTAGTAATTCTGCTGAAAGTTCTAGAGCATAGACCTTACTTTGTCACACAGGTCACAACCGGTCACAAAGCATTAGCTGAATACTTTAATGTTAGCAATTGATAGCAACAGCACTTCCAAACTGCCACAAGAACTGGGTTTCTTTAAGATTTTAAGTAAAACTTGTTTTTTTTTCATTTCTGTGATGAAATTTTTTTAACAACAAATAAAGTGAAATGTATGACAAATGAAAAAAAATGTTGTAATTCAGGTTGGACAAGTCAGGATAATGGTTGCTAGGTAACTGTATGAGTGAATGGGAGGGGGGGGGGGGTAAAATCATAATTATGGCTCCCTCATAGAGTGCAAGATTCTGTGCAAGATTTGAGCTCTTTGTGGTTATAATTAATGTGATTTGTTGGTTGTCTAGATCTTTTTGAATTTTTGCAGCCCATTTTAAGCCTGATCCAGATGATGAATAACAGGTATAGCATGGTATAAACTGCATTACAAGTCAATAATACCACATAACTAGAGAAGCAGACAGATTATAGATATAATCTGTTTATAAAATACAGTATGTGTGCTGTACAAGGGTTTAAGTTTAAAACAGGAACTATATTCTATATAGATATAACAGTTTATTATGACACAGAAACATCTATTTACCATAGAAGCATAACATATTAAGTGGAATGATTTGAAGGCCAATATGTGTTGTTGCACACTTCATTTATTTTAAATTTTGTTTTCTTTTTGTTTTGTTTTTGTTTTGTTTTTTTGTTTTTATATATTATGTAGCATGTTTAAATACATTTAGCAGTTTTGTTCTTCTGTGCATGAATATAGATACATGTATACACTTTTTCAATGATATTCTATTAAAAAAAATGCATAAAAATCAATGACAATGTCAGCTTACAAAGAACAAAATACCATACTTATTAATATAAGAAATTAATATTTGGTACTAGTGTACTAAATATTCAGTAAAAAAATAGGGAAATATGACCATTTCCTTGCATTCCTCAATCTGTAAATAGACATTGTTAAATTAAGAAGAATACACCAAGTACATGGTACATAAATTTGATCAGCCAGACACCAAAATAGAAAGGAATGATTTTTTTTGGGGGGGGGGGGGCAGTGTTGTAGTTTTATTGTTTTAGTATAGAAAGAACTCTTTGTTACATGATTATTCACTTTAGTTTATTGTGTGACATACTGTATATGAACTTATTTTGTCATCTTTCAGTTGTTTGCCTTCTTCTCTGTTTTATTAATGTTTACTCAGTATACTACTTTACCTAAAAGGAGAAATAATTTGTATTTATTGTTAATATAAAATCAGAATTATAAGCATTCAGATTTCAGTATATTACACAAGACTAAAGCCATCGTTAGAAGGAATCGCTCGGTAAAATTATGTGTTATTCTGTATTCCCTTTTTGTTCATTTTTCGTTCTCATTTTCCTCCCATCTGTTAAGACAGCTGATTTATCTATTAAGCAGAAACTATAAAGAAAAAATAAAAATTGATTTATAGAATCAGTATTGATAGAAATCTGAAAGGAATTTTTTTCATTTTCTTTTTTCAGAAACTGGACTCTTCGATAAAACCTTAAGGAAAACGTAAACTTAAGATGGATACTCAACAAATTGCAATGACTAGTATTGATTTTTGTCATACTGCACCCTTGCATTATTTTTACTTAAAAGGTGGATCAAGTTTGATGCAAATTAGATATGAAACATTAGGGTAAATACATTGTACATGTCTCAAAGTTCTTGTTACCACCTATATAAAGTATGTACGAGATTGTTACAGAAGTAATATGATTTATAAAGGGTAGATTTAATGTCAAGTAATTTTAGGTGGCTATCAAAATATCACTAAAATTAAAGGAGGCAGTCTGTTCAGAGGCAGTTTTATCCTGTATCATCAAGTCAGAATGTTACATGTTCATGAATCTGTTTGTCTAAAATGCTCAGTTCGGAAATGACTGGTATTAAAAAAAAATTGCATGAAGTGGACAGTTTGAGATTTCCTTCCCTGTTTTCTTCTTGTACAAGACTGCATGTAAAAGACAGAAATCTGGATTAGATATAAAGTTGTACTTCCTCATTGTTTCAGGATACAATTAATTTCAAAGATGACAGATGTACCTGATCTATAACTCAGTTAAATTTAAAATGTTCTTAGACAAAAAATGACTTCATATTATATATAACATTAAATTCAGTATTTGTTATCTAATATCAGAGTGTCATCCTCCACGTTTTGTATATTAGATGTAGAATCTCCTCCACTAATACACTAGGTATATAAATATACATGTATAATACATGGAGATTAAGATTTACAGGTGACAATTATCAGATTAATCTCCCTTTTATAAAAGTCAGTAGTGTAGATTGTGATGAGCTCTTTCTTTTTCTTTTGTTATTGGGTAGTGTATCTAAATATTTTGTCTAAAGTGTATATCCTATTCACAATCAAGTTATACATGTATTCTGTCATATTTAGATTTTCCTCTGCTTGTTTTTATGTAGCGAGTATGTGCTATGAAAGCCAAGATTCATTCTAGAGCATTCCAACTCTTGTTTGCAAAAGCTGTTGTACATAACTTTTGTCTTCTGATGATGAAAAAAAGCAGAGCATTTCATTAATTTTGAAGCCATTTTTATTGTTTGTTTTTATTGAGAAAGATATTAGGTAGTCTGTGATGAATACATGAGAATACAGTGCCCAAAATGTTTAGGTTTTGAAGTTTGAAGTATTCATTAATTGTGAGGTGACTGTTGTGATAGAAAGGGGCCATTATATAGTATACTATATTTATTTTTTTGCTCAATATGATAGAAAGTGCTGTGCATATATGATTTTGTATTAGACCTCAGAGTAATAGAATATATTTTACAGATGTACAATTTTATGTTTATATATATGTTTATTTTTAAGATGTCACATTGGACCATGAGTGCCAGAGCACTTAAAAACTGATTATTTTGTGCTTGTAATATTGTCATTTCTCAGAATCATGATTCATTTAATATACATTATATATATATATATACATGTATACCAATAAAGTCGTATGATACTATTTATTATTTTTAATCATAAGGAAATGTTTATTGTAGAGTTTTATTTATACATACATGTTTACAAAGATCGCTTGTAATAAGGAAGTTATGTACATAACAATGTATGACTGATCATGACAAATTTAATAAAAATCAGATGGTTCACAGATGACAGAAATGATGATGATGTCAAGATAATGAAAAAATTCACACGACTCAAAGTAAAAGACAGAAGGCCTTGAAACTCACCATGAGCAAATGTGAATGTTAACACAATTTAAAAGATGTTTTTAAATGCATTTGACAAAATGTAGCCATAAAGTCTGTTTTTTTTTCTGTATGATCTTTATCTAAAGCTTTAGGATTCCGGTTTTAGTATTCCTAAACTAATGGTCATATTTTGATCAAACAAAATCTGTTCTACCTATAGGTAACACGCAATCTGGTTTGACAACTTCATGGGTGTCTTCATAATAAAATAGAAAGATTTTCTTTTCATAGCACAATATTAAAGAGAACTTTATAGTTAATTGTATAATTATGCCTCTTTTATAACTAAACTCTCCTCTTTGATATCAAGAGTAATGATCTGTCTAATCTACGCTACAGAAGTGTACTTAAGGACAGACGATACGTTCCTCAATAATATATAATTTTTTCTAAGATTTTGTCATTGAAGTATTGCTACTTTAACGTGATTGCTCGCAAAAAATTGAGGTACCTTACCAGGCATTTGTGCAAGATACCAGAGGTGATGTTTCCTATAAAACCCTTTTGGAAAAAACTTAATTTGCCAATATCACATTTTTTAGTGTTTCAATTTTTTAAAGACAATCAGAAATCGGTTTAGAAATCAGAAGGTAATTAAAATTTTGAATATTTTCCATATAATACGAAGATATGCAAAACAGGTATTTGAGGAACGTATCGTCTGACCTTAAAATAAATATGGAGGCAATGTTTTTCAAGTATGCAAAAAAGTTAATAAAAAAAACCAATAGTAATTTCCTGTGTAAAAACCTTGTACCCCATTGTTAAGTGTCATCTTTTCTGACATGATGGTTCTTACAAGATTTTTTTTTTTTTTTTTTTTTTATACATATATTTATTTTTTAGAGGGGATTTTGAAACTTTTTTTTCGGAGAAACTTCAATTCAGGATGTTTTGTGTCACGATTACCTTAATTGAGATTAGCCCTGTTGTTCTAAAAGCGAAACGGAAAACTGAGCTCTGCTAAACACAAACGATGCTAAGTTATGTTGTGAGCAATATTTCCTGGATATAATCGTAGGTTTTTGTATACAAAGATCAAAACGGACTGTCTGTTTAATATGTTTTTGTTAAGAAGGATAAAATATATTTACACACGTATATAAAACTTAAATACAATGCAAACTTAAAAAAAAACCCAAACAGTTGACAAGAAAAACAACGAAATCAAAGGATGTAATATTTGAATGAACAATAAAAAAAATATTGCTAGTCTTTGAAACAGCGAGAGAATTCCTGGTACTCGGTGAGTTGTCTGCTGTTCTCTGGGGTCACTCCCTTGGCGTACAACTCGTCCAGCACGCGATCCAAGTAAGAACTGTCCGGGTATCCATTACTAAAACAATAAATCTAGCGTTATAATCGTGTTCTAACATGTTTAATACTTGTATAAATTTGTAGCATTTGTTACGAAATCCTTTACATGTACACGTTTTGATTTTTATGGCAAGTGTAAACGAATATTCCGCACATTCCGTTTTATAATTTACAAAGAAAGAAAATATGTGTTCTAATCAGGGTTAGAATAATTAGCTCTCTGCATATGCCTCGACTTGGGCATGTTTTTCTGATCATGAGATTTAGGTCAGATTAAATACAACTTAGGTAATATTAGTCTTCGTTGACCAACCCGTTTTCTCCTCCGTGTATGCTAGTTTTGTGGCGAACACCATTCCACACAATAATACCATCTGTGGACTTTGTGGAGGACGGCGCCACTCTAAACAGGAGATGTCTGCTGAAGGCCACATTGAGGAGCCGCGCCACTAGTTTTCCTTTTGCAGTGTTTGGAATGTACGCTGTATGAGAGATTCCAGCGTACTTATTGCCAGGGGAAGGATGTAAAGACTGTAATGTAAAACAACTATATTCACAGCGATACTCTACAAAGACATACAGTAATCAGTGTTTTGGGAATCGGACAGGAAGAGTTTTAATTTCCTTCCACATACCTGAAATCAATGTGCTTACCCAACAAATAAGATACAATGCGATACTGATTGTAGGTAAAAATAAGTAGCAGTTTTAAAAAAATTAACAAGATTTTGTATTGCATCACGCTAGAATAGGGATAAAATAGAGTCGGATGTTACATACCGTCTGATAACCTTCTTTGAATGTATATTTGATGACGATAGTTCCATCAGATTGTTCATAACCAGCTAACTTATTTGGATTCTGTGAGATTTCCATTACTCCAAAGGGCTGACCTCTTTTTACCATTTCATATTTCTTGCCACAAGTTGGACATTCTGAGTGATATAAGAAATGACGATCGATGCATCTGGTGCAGAACACGTGGCCACACTTGTCAAGTGTTTTAGGATTATGTACCCTCTCTGCGCAAATATCACATTTCTCCGCCGTTTTGAATTTTGTTTTTTTCACAGGAGAATCTTTTCGCTGAAATGGACAACAAGTACGGTATCCCGCTTTTGTTGTGCAGTAGCTTGATCTAGGTTTTGGTCTTGCGTCGTGGGAATATTTCCAGCAGTCAGATTTAGATGCACTCTTGATGGAGAAACCTGCGTCAATGAGCGAGCTTTTTAGAGTGTTGAAAATTGGTAAAGAGGCAACAACAACGCAGATGTTCTTCAGAGGACAGGTCCCTTTCTTCAAATCCTTTACAACGTCAACAAGACACTTGGCACAAGTTTCATCTAGGCCATCTAAAGTCGAAACACCTTTGAAAATACAATTAATAAATTAAAAAAAATGTATTTCTAAGGGGAGGGGGTCAATATGACAAACAAACAAGCATAATATTCAAATCATTTAGTTTGCAGTCTTTCCCAGTTTATCGGTACATTGTACAATGATGTCTCAGAATTCTACCGAGCTAGAAAGAAAAACGATCGAGAAGAAGTAGAGATATTAGTAGTTACGATTTAACATGTCTATTTTTGCATTTAGAATCATATTTGCGATTATTCTCGGAATTCTCACCTGCTCCAAGGAGAGGACTCACTAGGCTCTGTAGGCTGTGTTTTTTAGCTTCCTCGAACACATTCCTGATGGTCTCTTTCAGGTCTTGTTCAAACTGACGTGACGATTCTTCCTTACTTTTTCTTGGGCATACAGCATGAAAAATGTATTCCCAAGGCAAAGACAGCTTTCCCTGCTTCACTGGAATGACTTTCCCAAAACAGTGTTCTTCTTGAGTTTTAATACTTGGCATCTCAAGCTCCATATTTTCCAGTTTCTCGGTAATGGCTTTTGCAATCTGTCCTCTAGATTTGCATTTCTTATCCTGTGGACATACTATGGCTGAACCTTGATAGGAAGCGATATCTCCGATCTTTACAGAGAGACTTGTTGTATCTGTTATATCAAACACAACGCTCTTCTCTTCTTTGTCTTCAGGGCTCTGACTTCTGCTTCGCCTCTCTCCGCCTCGGTCATTGTGGGACTTCCGGCGGACAGGCAGAGATACCGTTCTTGTTACCAATTTTGTTCCAAAGTGTTTCTCAAAGGCAGACCCAATAAGACTTACCATTTGACTGTCTATATCAACAAAATGAATTTCTTGAAGACTTGTATCTGGAAACTGTTTGCCAAAGGAGTCGACTGCCTTGCAATATTGTTCAACGCAACTTTCCTTAGGCACACCAAATATTCCTGCAAAATAGAGATAAATAGGTTAATTAGTATGAGATCTTCTTTTGAGAAATAATTTACAAGTTTTAATGATAAGATAAATTTTTACCAGAACTGATTGCTGGGATAGCGATTGATGTGAGCTTTAATTTGTCAGCCCTTCTGAACGTGACCTCTACCGCCTCCTGAAGGTCACTAAAGCAGTACTTTTTCTCCTTATTTTTGTAGTCGCCCCACGTGGGACCAACAGTGTGGATAACGTGTTTGTAGGAAAGTCTACCCGCTGACGTCACACAGCAGGTTCCGACCGACAGGGGACCGTGTCTCTTTACGTATTCCTTACCCTCCCTCTCAAAGTCTGGCCCGGCTGCCTTTGCTATGGCCCTTGCTACCCCTCCAGCGTGGGCGAGGTGTTCGTTAGCGGCATTTACTATACACTCTACCGATAACTTTGTGATGTCTCCACAGTATATTTTGATGGTTATCCCCTCAGCTGATTTCATTTCGCTTATGTTTACTTCTTCCACATCCCCTGTCTACATAAAAATGTTATTGTTATGAATTTAAAATATAGCATATTTGATTTAATTGATAATTTGAATGATTAATTTCCAGTGATGAAAAACCACTTTTACCAACCTTTTCCTCATGAGCATGTTCCTCGTTCACTTCCTCTATGATATCTTTTGTTTTTGGCTCTGGAAGCTTTGTGCCATTTTCTATAAAAAGCTGAATATTTTCAAAGCCGGAAGTGACGTCGACTCTTGTTCCTGTTACCCAGACAACTAAAGAATCTTCTTCCCAGTAACAGCTAACGTTGCCATACGATTGAGGACGTCTCGCATCTGTATCATCTGCACGATTGGTAACTTTAATGGCTCGTGCATCTAATTTTGATGTGACCTTAACTAAAGAGTTGATTGTTTCAACAATGAGAGATTCTAGTTGATCTACTTTTTCTGGTGGAGTTTGGCCTTCGCCGGACTTCAGAGCTTTGTTAATGGGCTGTCTTATATCAGCAAAATGGAGTTTAGGACGAGAAATGTAGGGAGATGGTTCAATTATAAGTCGACATGGCTGGACAATGTCCTCTAACGTGATTGATATTTCGATGTTTGTCCATTCATTTTCAGTCTGATAAAGATAAATAAAAGATAAATGGATCAAGATGGGGAGAATTTGAAAATATCACATTGTAAATTTTGTAGTTACCGCCATCCAGTAAATTCAAATGTGCAACAAATTAGCTTTCCATATTCTAAAACCGTTTCTTTACACAGAATGTAAAAATATGTTATATAAACATTCTATTTACGTGAGAAGTTGCAATAAAAAGGGGGAAGACAAACCTTAAATGATACGCCACCAGGTAAAGCCCAGAGAGATGGATGGTGGCTCTGAACAATGCTATATGCCTTGTCAACATCCTCCTCCGCTCCACTCAACCAGTAACAGTTCCTCGTCTCGTGCCGGGTAACCAAAACATTCTCCAGTGGCAGTTTCTTAAATTTAATTTTACCCAAATCTACAGGCAATAAAATTGGCCGTGCGTCGTATCTACTTATGAATCCTGACATCACATTACATATATCATTTGACACCCATTGAAGGGTTATCAGCTTATTTCTTGAAATGTGCAGCACTTCAGTTTGCTTTCCATCATATTCCAAAACATAGCCACGCATCTGCAGAACGCTCTGTAGGGATGTAAGCTCCTTGGTGAAGACAAATTGCATGATGGGAGGAGAAAGCCATTTCGTAAAATCATATTCTCCTTTCATGTCCTTGAGAAAAAGGGTCTCGGTTTGCACTTTAATGCAAAGTTTGAATTCTTCCCAAGAAGATTCCATTTTCAACTATTGAAATGAGATTCCGGGATTGGTTTCTATGTTTCGTTTTCTTTTCTTCAGGAAAAAAAAGAAAAAAAAAATACTTAAGCTATTTCCTACTGTAAATCACTTATTATTAGCGAGAACTTTATTTTCGCGTAATTACGCGAGATAGTGTGCTCGCGAGAATTTCATTCTCGCGTATATTAGTATTCATAATGATTGTATAGAGCAATAAGCACAATTCGTGAAAAAATTTGTCTCGCTAATAAAGAGTAAATGACTATCTCGCGAAAATATTGTGTCGGGAAAATTAAGTGAGCTACAGTATTCTATCAAATTGCAAAGATTCAACTATGAAAAATTCTACCATAAAAAAGAAGTGAACATAACGAACAGTGAACAAAATCCCATTAAACAGTATAAATTTGGTAGCTCAATAGAGATAGGATCAGGTGCCACGGAGGAGTAAATATTCCCTGTCTATCGGTCACATGTCTGTCTTCTTCATAATTGGGTAAACGGAGAACTGTGTAGAAAATTCAGTGTGAAAATAATGGCATAACAATTTGTACGGCATTCGATTTAACGACAGGTTGTATTTGGAATGAAAAAGGTTAAGATAATGAAAATGCAGTGATTGATCTAATAAATTCTTTAAACAATACAAAGAACTATACACGCTAACTCTCGTTTACCATCTACATTTTACACCAATTTCATTCAACATTAATGACAATTTGACTATTAAAACTATTTTGAATGCAAAGAATCGTTCAAAGGTACTAGTAATCGGTTAATAATAGTAAGACTAGTGTCAAATAAATGCTCTTAATTACAACTCTTTTTACAAGGAAATTGACAATGTTATCCATTGAAATCAGGCTTTAAAACATCACCAGATATTAAATTAGTCATGGATATGGATAAATGATCCTTAAATCTTTCAGTATGTTTAATACATATAAAATTAGACACATAAGTTTGATAAAGTACAATTATTTTAGACGTAATATCATTAAAAATTGGTAATAAGATGAACATTTTCGCATTTTTTTGTCTGTTAACACCCCCCCCCCCTTTCCTTGAAACAATAAAAGCTTTGGCAGGAATTAGTTAAATAACAATTCAAAATATTTGTAAAATTTCTGTTTACGGGGGGGGGGGGGGGATGTGTTAAAAGTATATTCCGTTTTCCATTGATTTCTTTAGTTTTACCAACATTATAAAGTTATCTCCCTTTGTTTTCCCAAATAATTTATGTTTTATGAAAATCCATTTAAATACTTATATAATTTTGAAAAATTATTCAAATATGTTAGCTTCTTGAGGGTAGGCGGCAAAAAATACTATCGTTCGCAGTTGTTGTCAACAGGGGAAAAGACACAAATCACTTGTTCAAAACGCCAGAGGTGGGCTTTAGGTGCCTGGGAGGAGTAAGTATCCTCTGTCGACCGGTTACACCCACAGTGAGCCCTCTGTATTGTTCAAGTAAATGGAGTAATCCGTAGTCAAGATTAATATATAAACAATGTCAACAGTTGTTTTAAACTGAGCAGGGTTTTAATTAGTGACTAAAATTTTGATCTGCGCCTAAATTTTTTCCATAAGTCGCCAAATTGGCGACTATTTTAAATTGACTTGGCGATCGTCGAATTCCGGAACTTTTAACATTTTTTAACAATTTTTATTTTTCTGAAGAAGCGAAAAGAAAGGACAAGATAGGCTAAAACCCCTTTTTGGCCCCTGTTTTGGGGTGTCTTTTAGAATGGTGCAACAGTTTATCAACAGAAACCTGTTGCTACCCCTGCCACAAAATGAGTATTGATTCTAAGTTATTGGTTACATAGAGGTCACAGGAAGGTCAGAAAATATGCCAATTTCCGAATTTTCTAATTTTTATGCAAATTTTCATCGATTTTACAGCACATTTTGTTTCAGAAAACATAGAGCACAAGCTTGCCTATCTACCAAATTTATATATTTCATACACTAGTATCAGATGCATCTTATGTATAAAAATCTAGGACAGACAAGCTTGTGTTCTATGTTTCTCGAAGTGAAAAGTATCTCAAATTTGACGAAATTTCACCAGAATTGAGGAAATTCGGGTAAATGTCCTACTTCTGCAACCTCTTGTGGCCTCCGTGTAAGCTTTGAATCAAAATTAGTGCTGGTTTTAAAACAAGCATCATTTTAAGTTCTTAACTACAAACTATCACAATTTTAACGGTGTTCTCATTTTTACATCAAATAAGGGGCTAGATTCGGCCTTTACCATACATTGTCCTTTAAAAGAAGAGGGCATTATTTTTAGCAATGGACTTGTCGTATTTTTTTGTAACCTTTTTGTTTGTTTATTAAGCACACGTGCGAACAAAATTTCACGTCGCATCAGTGCACACACTACGGTTGTACATTGGCTTCAGAAAATCGATAATTATGAAATACAGTAATGATGTGGTCATTTCTTTGCCAGTTAAATTCTCACTGATTAGAGATATCGTTTACATATTAGTGTTACGTCGTACTTGTACAGACGAGAATGTTAATCATGTAAACAATCCTCTATATTATTATAGTTTTAAAGAATATTTCATTCTGTCCAAGTTTCACAAACTGAGGAAATCATCGATTAAATTGTTTAGAATATTAGAGTTTTACATGCATGCTTAAGTTTAAGATGGCATTCAATTGAGATACTCTTGTCACAAACACTTTCAAAAGCAGAATGGACACTAGACACTCTCCTCTCATGACTACCCCGTCATGGGTCCCTATATTGATTACTATTAACTTTTAAAGTTGGCGCTGAAAAAAACTGCCTGGTGACTAAAAATTTGCTTTGGCGACTAAATTATTTTGATAAGGCTCCAGCTGGCGCCTAAATTTTAGAGGACACTTAGAGGTCTGGTCACTAGAAGTTTTTGAATTCGATAAATTCTGTTTCAAAGACATAAAAAAAACCCAGGGCAAACAAGGTCATAGTATCGACCACCAAAATTTGCGACGCCGACTTAACGAAATTGTTGATACCCTTGTGTTATCAACTAATTTGTCAGTATCCTGTCTCGGTTAAGAAATTGTTTGTATGCTCAAATACTTCTACATGAGAGAAAGGAAACGCTATTTTCTGTGACTTTTATCTTGGTTAATGAGATTGATCGCTGCTAAATATCTTCACTGAGAGAAAATACTAAAACTCTTTACTTATCAGTATGCAAAGTTTGATGTTGAATAAAAGTAAAAAAAAAAAAAAAAGAAGTGATTCGCCTGATTTGCCACAGTCCAGGAAATTAAACTGATTCTTGTGATATCGCGCGAATTTAACTTTGTCTTTTAAACTCCACCATTGAACTCTTACAAGGAAAAATGAGAAATGGAACCTCGTATATTAAGAAAGGTACGTTTTGTACGTACTATTTCGTTAATTTTAAACGTTCCATCATTCGAAGGAACTTTGAGATCAATATATATATATATATATATTGACTTACCAGATTTATATGATCAAATTCGATGTCTCTCCGTTTGTTCGTGATCATCCAGGAACAAAACTATGTTTTCCATGTTTTATAATTGAGGCGCAATCGGGAAGGATATAAGCTATGGTGGAATAACATTATATTCTAAACCCACTTATTCCTTAAATTTTTAACGCAAATAAAAATAAAAAAAAAAGTGTCATTTTAAAATCGGTCTTAAGGAAACATTTCAGAATTAGAATTTCACTTTTTTCAGAAAGCTTTTTTGGCTTTATTTTTTTCCAAATGGAAATTATTAGGTAAATGATAGTCACTATAGAGTATACTGATTTAAGCAAAAATATTTTCCTTGGTAGTTTGACTAGCAAACAACTGTCAAGAGTATTCTCAACGAAAATATAGTTTCATGTTCATAATATTGGACATACCTATGTCACTTCGGGTCAACATCAAGAATTCAAAATGGTACAGATGCAATTACATGTAATTGTAGATATATTAAAAATAATTAATGCAAGCACTACGTAAACGTTCTAGCCCTCTAACCAAGACAAGCACTAGAAGTACAAAAGGAGTAAAGGCCCGAACACACCTTACCAGTTATCACTAACGGATGTCAAACGGATGAAAAATAGGAGACAGAACGTTAGTACATGTAATACCTTGCTCATAATCGTCTTGTACCAATTTTGAGGCTCTTGCGATCAACGTATGAAAATTATAAAACAGGCAGAATCCGGACGATTATCGGAAATTTACCGTACAAGAAATGATCAATTAACGGACTTCACTGTTTGAGTAACGTGTTTAAAACGAATATTTGCAACACATAAGAATTTTAACGGACATAACGGCCAACTAACGTTAAACTAACGGATATACAGTCGGCGTCCGGAGAACGTTCGGTTTATCCGTTGTAAGTCCAACAGACATCAACGTAAGCAGATCGGACAAGTAGCAGAAAAGAAGCGCATGGGTTTCGTACAAAACGCAAAACTTTCCACCGGTTAATATAAGAAAGGACAAGTGCGAACGGAGACGAACGGGTTGAAAATTTTTCCATCCGCTTGACATCCTTAGCGCTATCCTGTAAGGTGTGACTGAGCTCAAAAGTAATTACATTGAATTGATTAAATTCCAAGGTATCAAACTGATAAAATGTAAATAAAATAGAAATCCATTGCAGCTAACAGCAGACCAAAATATCTGTATTGAGTAATACAGAGTAAATACTAGCGATACTTGTTCTCAAAATGTGCTACACTGAAACTTAAACACAATCATGTGGAACTATATCTCATAGAATTTACGATTTACTTCTCTTAAAAGTCTTTCATATCAAGAATATACATGCATACAATATTGGTATTTTACGGATATTACACAAAACCCTGTAAAAATTAGTTTTTGAAAAGGAAACTGAAATTGAGAAACTATGGCACCAGGTGATTCAAACCCCGACTCTAAAAAGTAAAAAGGGGCCATGGATCTCAAAATTCTTTTTCTCTAAACATTGTACGCTATGGATCTTTTCCTCTT